TTTCCCAGCTGCTTTGCCCTGCGATGATTCCACCTCTGTTCGAGGGCGCTTGAGATGTGCCTGACATGTGGGCAGAAGGTCGGCAAATGACATGTCGTCCATCGGCATATTGTCGTCCATGCTCGAATGCGGCTGACAGGACAAAATCTCTGGCCAGGGCGTGCTCGAGTTCAAGGATTGCTATACAACACCAGCTGACTTGTTCATATGGATCTGTGTCTAAATCAATTGTTCGAGGATCCCACCAAGAATCAGGACTATCTGAGTTCCAGGCCCAATGCAAGGGGAGCGGTTCCACGATCCAACGAACAATGAAGGGCGCAGTGCCCATATTCAATGCAACCTGAGGCAAGTCCGGAAAGTGAATCGTCCACTGCATGACAAACGTGTACCAAAGCAGGCGGCTTTCAGGTCGAAATTGGATGCATCTATCGACTTGTTCATGCACATAATGTCTCAAGGCCATGGTCGAATGTCGGTCAGTGCCGAGCAGGAGGCCGCAGGTCCATGTCTGATGGATGCCCTGAGTCGGCAGTGGAGTCTGGTCATGCTGCAGGCTTTGGGATGGGACACTGTCAACTTTGGGACCATAGTGTGCATCTCGGACCCAATTTTTTAAAAGGACCGGGCAGGTGCCTCTGTCAAAATGATTCTTGAGGGCGAAAACCACGGTGAAGCTAGCTTTACAATGCATACAACTCAGAAGTCCAGGAAACATATCCAGGCTTGGTCGAAAAGGAAATGAGCTGGGCTTGCCAATTTGATGCACATTACGAAGATGGCTAGCAACAGCTTTACGGCCAAGGTGCTCAAAGCACAACGGACATTCAAGCTCTTGAATGGGAACCGGAATCTCGGTCGTCGTGGCACGAAGTCGATGTGCAATGGTGTCAGCACCAATGGGACGACCTCTCTTGGCAGGTGGAGGGTCAATATCAGTGGCGGCATGAGCCGCCTGTTGATGGGTTTGCAGGCCGTTGAAACTCAAAACATATGTATAACATGTTGGACACTTATGGAGTGCAATTTGTGGTCGATCCTCTTTGGCGTGTCCGGTGTCCTCATGCTGATCTGTAGCACCGTCTGTAGTGCGGGCACGTTTCTCAGCCGGCTCAGGATGCGGCTCAGTGGATGTGTTCTCATGGCCTAAGTTCACGGTCGATGGCCAAGGGCGTTTTCGAAGCGGCATGATCGGGAAATGCTCTGGATTCATGACATGACCGGACATGGCGGCAAGGTGGCACATGACGACACAGGTATGCTTTTGCGCATCAAGACTCTTGCATTGACACATGGGGCATTGACCTTTGCCGGAGACCAAATTGGACAAGCTACTCACAAAGTCATATTGTTGTTTTGCAAGGCCAACAAGCTCTGGGTGGGAGTCTGTATAATGCCGGGTCGTGGCTCTGGCATGGACTTTCAACTTGTAAAAAGCACATCTGGCGGCGAGTTCCGCGCACAGGGCATCATCCAACATAAGACCCATGAAGGACCTGTGACGGATCTGCATTCTGAGCTCTTCCCTGGCGACGATGGGCTGGACAGTGGCCTGAGCAGCATCGAAGGCATGACATGTTCGTTTGTTTATATGGTCTCGTAAAGTCTCGTAATGCATATAAGGTGGTGAATTGATGTTTGCAATGCCTACATATAGATCTACTATCATACGAATCTCTCAGCGGTCTGAAGACATCTTCCGGTAGATATGGGACCTGATGTTGTTGTCGAAGGTGCTTCTTGAGCATCCCTGCCTGTGCAAAGAGTCGATGGCATTCCGGGCAGGCCAACGAGGCCTGGGGCATCGGTGGTGTCGGTGGTATATATTCATGCATGGCACATGGTGGATATGCAGGACTGAGTGTGCAGACATCCGGTTGCGGCTCATCGGGCTCCATCAGGCTCTGGCGCTTATGGGTCAGAGCAGATGTCAATTTACGATGATGTGTTGCGATATGTGTCCAAGGTGGTTGTACTCCAAGTCGGAGGAAGAAGTTTGTGGTGTTCTCGTGAGTGAGGTGTGCTGATGAGTGTATCATCCGTCGAATATGTATATTGATTATGCTCACGAATCTCTTACAACAGGATGTGGGTAACCCCATTTCGTGGACACCGTACAGGACTGTTGGCACAACACACTGCTGATATAGCCTGAATCTGACATGTGCAGGAATGGATTGTGCCTGGAGCCACCGCTTGAGTATCGAGTAACAATGTTGTGCTGCCTGGATTCTTCTGGCTGTGGTATCGGATTCCCACGCTCGATATCCTATGATCACACCAAGATACGCTGTTTTGGCCACCATTGGCAGATGAAAAGGTGTGTCTGGGATCAAAAGCTGTGGACCTTATTTAGTCCTGCTGATCCATCGGCGAATGAACTTAGTGACCCCTTCGCCAACCGCTCGAAAGAGAACAACACTCTTGGTGGGGTTAATGTTGTGCAGTATATGGGCAAGGTCTTCGAGAGCACACTGACCATCTGCAATGCTATTCAAAGTCCAACGAAGGTGGACATCGTCGGCGTATATTATCAGGTGGTCGTGCAACCAGGCATGGGAATATCATTGGAGAAATTCCTTTATGATGAGGTACATACAGAGGGTCCAGAGGATGGGTGCATCTGTGGATCCTTGTTTAATCCCTCGAGAGGCTTCTATGGTCCCAACAAGTGATTTAAAGGGGATGCGATACTTATGGGGCGCCAACCAAGTTTGAATCATATGCAGTACGTTAGGAGGGAGGTCTATCAGGCTCAGTGCATGAAATACGAGGTCTCGACGGACTGTGTCAAATGCCTTTTAGACCTGGAGACCGCCGAATAGACCCTACGGACTTGCGTCCATTTGTCGATCACGACAAAGCTGTCGAATTTGCTGGCAGTGCTGTGAGACCCGAAGGAGACACTCTGTGGTGCCTCTATGCGGGAGGTATGCATAGAGTGGCAGGCTTCTGAGAATGGTATATGCATATTATTTGATGAGGGTTGTTACAATCTTAGACACAACCTTGAGAATAGGGCGCTGGAGGCAAATGGGCCTAAGTGCCGCTGGTTGTGTGCTGGATTTACCTGGCTTAGGGATCAAGTGCAACTAGCCGGCAAGCCAGTGACTGGGTGGTGCCACTTGCTCTGCACACCAGTAGTGTTCAATGGCAGCATGGATCGGACCCGCAAGCTCCGTGGCTAGGTGTTGCCAAATGATGGCGGGCATGCAGGGTGGGGCCAGTGCTTTCATAGCTGGTAGGTGTCGAAGGCCCTGCAACACATCATCCTGGGTAAAAGGAAGTATTTGGAGTGGGATATTACCAGGATACTGAAAGGAAGAGTCCTGAAATAGCTTGCCAAAGAATTGTTCAATACGTTGTAGTTGTAAGGAGGGGTTGTCCATGAGGGGTTGTCCATGATCATCATACATCTGAATCTTCTGAGGGCATTGCTTGGGACACAACTTTCGAACCTTGCGATACCAATTATACGTCTGATGACGCAAGGCCAGATCAGCACCTTCCTGAAGGAAGTCTTCCAGCTTCTGGCGCTTATTCTGTCTGGCTAAATTGGCGAACTTGCTTGTGATATCGTCGAAACAAAGCAAGGTGCTTCCAGACAGTGAAAAGGGAAGCGGGCGACCGATCGGTCAATGCGCGAATAAGTTTCCTGGCCTGCCACACGCGGGCAGCAATGGAAGCAAGCGAATTGCATTCAATTGGTGTGGAATTTTGTTTGGGAAACAATGTCTTGCAAAGATCAGTCAATGAACTTTCAACTTGATGAAACGAGGAGGGATCAATCTCAGTGGTCGAATACAAAAATTGTCTGGCCTCTCAACAAAACCCTTGCCAGCGCTAGGTATTCTGCTTCATGTCTTGTCGAATACGGTTGCGATCAAAAAAGGACAATCGGTTTGGGTCTTGGTCCAGGGAATCATTTGGGGATGGTCCACGTCAGTGGATGATGATGTGGGCCAAGGAGCCCAAAATTGAAGGCGAAATCAATAAGTAATTGGGGTGGCCTTTGGTGTTCCATACACGCGCTCTTGCATTAAGATGGCGCTTCTATATAAATATATTCAAAAATATATAATATCCTCGATCACAAAAAAGAATTATAAAGATCAAAATCGTAGAAAGATATAATATAAATATAAATACGAAATCTTAGTTACATTCATTTCCAATACATTCTATGCGAAATCCACATAAAATCAAATATCTTCGGCGACAAAAAAGATTATAAAAATTATTTGCCATTATAAATTCCAAAATACAAACTCATTAAAGGAGGCAATGCATATATTCACAAACATAAAATATATAATTAATTTATATATTTTGGTTTATAAAAACCGACATTATTATTCAACAAAAAAATAAAAAATAAAAAAAATATACTACAATATTGTTCAAAATCATCCATTTTACATTTTTTTATATAAAATTATCAATGCATATCATCCATTATCATAATTTCAAAATAAATCCGAAGAATTCGAATATATTATTTATAAAAATTACGACGAATTCATCCAAATCCTAAATTCTTATAAAAACCATCGTCCATTAACCAAAAAACATTTACCAAACATACACTATATATAAAAAAATAAAGATATTATTATCATTTTCCAAATATTTCCTTCATACATACATATAAATCCATATATAATATACCTCCATTTACTATAATGTAAAAATAATATATGCGAATATATATTTCAAATCATACAAAATTTCCTAATGTCACTAAATCAATTAATCATTCATTATATATATATAATTTTAAAAATATATAAATCATAATATATTCATAAATAATTTAATTAAATTCCTAAAATCAGATAAAATATTTAAATTTCATATTATAATCCAAAAACAAAAATAATGAACATTAATAAATCCAACATATTGCAAAAAACACAATTTTTTAATTAATATCCAAAAAAATATTAGTGATTTCTTTGTATATAATATATTTATTATTGTTGAATTTTTCATCATATCTTTTGAATTTGATTGTTTGTTCATTAATATCGCGGAATTGTTTTCCACGGGTGACACGTGAGCATTGAAAAAATATCATCAAAATGGATGATCTTTTCCACGCTCAGAACAGTCAGGGTCATCTTAGTTTCCCAGTTTGCAGGCTGTGCTTTCATATCCTTTGTCCATGGTCAAAGGTCTGGGCTGAAAAAGTACATGATTCTCAACTCTTTCACGACAACAAAGGAGGAAAATGGAAGAAACAACAGCAATCGCATCCGAACTCCCCTACAACCTGTCAAACACTCACCTTTTCCCACAGAAAAGTCAGCAATTTTGGCTCAAGAAACAGATGCCTTGTTGTCTCCCGTGGCCTGGAGCCTTTTGTTTTCAGCTTCTGCCATCCGCTTCACTCTGACATTGGTTTTCAATTACACTCAATTCCCAGGTAAAATGGCGATGGAACGGCAAGGTGGCAGAGTCCGTGAAAAGGTATTGTTTAACAAAGGTTGTTGCACATCTGCAGCTCACAAGGTCGGCGGTGTCAAACGTCGGCGCGGCACAGCTGCTGGGGAAGAGTAGGTTTGGGGGAAGTATCATGAACCACCATGGAAACAAAAAAGGAGATTGGACAGCTTGTGCAAAAGTTGGTCGCAGGTACACACAGTTGATCAGACTGTGCATCCACCGACAAGCATAGCTTTGTTAGCCAGCGTTTGCTTGTCGGCCGCTGGCCCCCTGCCTCGTTGAGTGGTTGTAGTGAAAAACAGTGGCGTTGAACCGTTTGGTACAGGGGGTGACACACACAGGTCGCCGTGATCGGCGCTTTTTCCTTTCAAAAACCGGCTGCAAGCTGTTGAGTCATGTCCTTTTTGGACGTAAAGTTTCACAAGCTCCGTGGCAGCAGCATCAGCGCTCGAAGGTGGAAAGGTGTATTTGTGGATTGTGTGAAGTCTTGAGTGGAGCCCAAACAGAGCCAAGCGCTGGCTCCCGGCGCTGGTTGCGTCCCTGATTTTCCAGGGTTGTAGAGGTTGAATGTAGGTGATGGTACGTTGTTGTAGGTCAATGTTGAAACCCAGAAGGTGAAAATCGTCCACTGGCTCAAGTTCCACTGGGTCACCAAAGAAGTTGTGATGGATAAGGGTTTGAATGGCGGGGTGTTGGAGGAAGTGTTCGTTGTGGACGATGAACCGGTTGTCAACATATCGGTAGTATGCAAAGTGTAAGTCGGTGTGTTGGAGGAGGTTGTTGTGGATCTGGTGCCAGGAGTGTTCGATGAGAGTGATGGCTACGTTGCAAAGGGCAGGAGAGAGTTGGGATCCAATCCCAGCTCCTCGGACTTGCTTGTAAGTGTTGTTGCATGCCCGGAAAATGCAGGTGTCGAGTGCATAGGCGACAATGGTGGTGATGTCGGAGGTCTGGATGGTGCGTTGTGTGGGGTGTTTTTGGTGATGCCGGCCGATGTGGAAATGGTGGAATGGGTGGCCGGTTGCGTGGACGTCAATGGTGCGGGTGTGTGTGGATTGTTGTGCTTGCCAGTGTTGAATCATGGAGTGGACCGCGTCGATGAGGCGGTGCTGGGGAACCGAGTTGAAGAAGCCGACCAGATCATCGTTGGTGGCATATAGTGAGATGTCTGCGGGGGTTTGGGTGAGATAGCAGTGGAAATGGCGCCAGAGTTGCGGGATGGAAAGTTGGCCTGGATGTTGTGGATGTTGAAAACCTTGCGGGAGCCCCATTTGTATCGGGTGCGTAGGATGGAGGGCACAGTGGCTTTGAGGTGGTCGTGGATGTTGGCGGCTGTCAGGTATGGAAGTGGTGCAAAAAGTTCGGGAGATTGCCATGTGTTAAGGGCTCCGGTAAAGTATTGGCGAGGGCAGAAAACACGGAGCTGTTGTAGTTCGTGATCAGCATGGTGGAGTACGGTGTGTGGGCCGAGATATTCCTGAAGCTGTCGAAGTAAGCGAGCAGTGAATCTGGGGTGTTGTTTTAAATGGGTGTTGTGAAGGCGCCATTGGTGCTCGAGGAAAGGTTGCAAATGTTGCGTGAGGGTTGGTGGAAGTCCCTGGAGCTTAAGCCATTTTGTATAAGCCGTTTGAAATGCAAGGAAGTAACGCGCCTTGCTGGGATAGTAGGTGCTGTTCATGTTGGCGCTGAGAAAGATGTTGAGGTGTGGTGGGAGATGGAGCTGGTCGAGTGTGAGAATGTAGTGGTCGTTGGTGGTCGCTGTGTCTGGATCTTGGAGGAGGCTTCGAAGGTGGGGGCAGGCGCAAGGTAGCTCTGCTGGATCTGGTGGCGATTGCAGAGTTTCTTCCCATGTGCGGTGGTTGTGGAGTTGGGATCGAAGGGTCTTGTGGGCTGCTTCCCGTAGGCGGTGAGATGGGAGGTGGAGAGGAATGGCCAAATGCTTGTGCTGCTGGATGGTGGTACGGAGCCACTGTTGGCAATGTTTGGTGAAGTCTTGGTGTGCCAGGAAAGGCACAGTGAGAGGGATGTTGGGCTTGGGTGGTGTAAGATTGCGGAAAATCAGGGCTTTGTTGATGATGTGGAGTGCCCTGCTGTGGCCTGGTCCTTCCAGATTGGCGGCCATGCGCCTGATGGCGTAGACTTCTAGGTCTGTGTGACGACCGCTGCGCAGTTGTTTGGCTGCTTCAAAGGAGGCTGCCGTGTGTTTGGTAAGGTCGCGGAATAGCGTGAGAGCATGGTGTTTTGTGGAAGTGTAAAGGTGTGGTTCTTTGAGTGTCTGTTGGCGGAGGCGGAGTCGTCGAAAAAGGCGTTTGTGAGTGGCCAGTCCGGAGTAAAAATGGGCTCGATGCTTGGTGAATTGCCACCCTTGGGCTTTGAGCTTGAGATGGTGGGAGATGAAGGGCCAGTTGAGTGTGGGCATCCAGTTGGCAATGTGGTGATGTTCTTGGATCCAGGCCTGATCATAGGTGTCATGGGATGTGAGCTGGATGGTGGTGTAGTGGTGGATGTTGTTGTGAGAGTGCCAATATCGTAGGGAGAGTTCTGCTGATACAGGGATGTTGTTTTGGAGTTGCTTGAGTTTGGCTCTGCGATTGTGTTCTCTGTGGGGAATGCCAATGGCCGTGGAGCCGATGTAAAAGTGGCAATGTTGGTGGTAACAGCGAAGTGGTGGGGTGGGGTTGAAGTAGAGCTTGATGTAGACTGAGTTGTGGGAGAGAAAGTTGCGGTAGTGGTAGGTGTGTGGAAGAATGTGAAGCTGGCGGAAGCGGTTGCGCCACTGTTGGGATCGGTGGGCGGTTGACGGATATGAGAAGAGGAGGGTGAGGTGGATGAGGCCTGTCGTGAAGATGGCCTCTGCTCGTTCAATGTATTGGGTGTGGTGAATCAAAGTTGACAAGGCGCGGTGAAGGTGGAAAAGATGTTGCATGGTGATGTGGCTGGGCTGCTGCTGGCTGAGAAAGCATAGTCAGCAGCCAATGGCTGCACCGACGCTGACGAGGTGTTGGAGACTGCGGATGGGGAGTCGGTTAACACGGCCAAGAGGAAGGCCATAGCGAGTGGCAGCTTCCTTCAGTTGTTGTGTGGTGACCTTGCTGGTTTGGAGAAGGCGTAGAATTTCATTGGCCGACTCCTGGACTGCGGGGTCAAAAGTAGTGACCCATTGCTGGATGTCAGTGGTGGTCCAGGTTTCAGGGACGTCATCTTTGAGGGAAGGGTGCGGGGGCTGCAGGACGTCTGTCAGGACAGGTGGTTTGTGTGCTGGCGGTGGGGTGGTTGTTGGTGGATGTGACGCATCGGCGGTGTTGGAGGGTTGAGTGGTGCCTTTCGTGGGGGTGAATGGAACGCCCAAGTTGTGGAGCTTCTGTTTTGCGCGGGCAAGCTCATCGGTGGCGGATTTGAGTGCCCGTAGGGCTGTGCCTTCCGCTGGGGCTGGTGAGTGTGATTGGAGTTGTTGGATGAGGAGGTTGATCAATGGGGCGTGGAAGGCACGTGCCTGCGTTGTCTTGCTGGGGATGTCATTGCCTTGTGAGGTGTGGAGGGTCTCAGCTATGGCGTCCAGGTCAAGGCGCTTTTCGCGGATCTCAGTTGATCAGACTGTGCATCCGCCGACAAGCATAGCTTTGTTAGCCAGCGTTTGCTTGTCGGCCGCTGGCCCCCTGCCTCGTTGAGTGGTTGTAGTGAAAAACAGTGGCGTTGAACCCTTTGGTACAGGGGGTGACACACTCTGACATTTGTTTTCAGTTAGACTCAATTGCCACGATGGGAAGGAAGGTGAGGGAACGGAAAGGCGCATGAATCCGCGAAAACCGTATTGTTGAACAATGTTTGCAGCTGCGCTCCAAAACGATCTGACACTCAAAGTCGGTTGCAAAGCGGCGCAAGGCGGTGGTGGGTTTGTGGGGCGTATCATGAAGGACCATGAATCAAAAAGTGGAAAAGTGGAGTAACAGCTTGTGAAAAAAAACGAGCAGGTACACGGAAGTGATCAGCTTCCGCTTCCTAGGATCTTGCAAAGAGCTTCGTTGGGCAGAGCTTTGCAAGTCCTCTCTGCCCCCCTGCTGGTGTGGAACGTGGAGGTGATGGGAAACCCTTAGAAACAGGGTGTGACACACACAACAAGCCGAACTCGGCGCGAATGCGAAGCAGTGGAAAAACGGACCTTTTCTTCAAAAACCGCCTGCACGCTTGCAGGTCGTGCCCTTTTTTGGGCGTAAAGTTGGACCAGTGCTTCTGCCGCAGCTGTGGCGTTGTGGGGTGGAAAAGTGTATGTATAAATGGCGTGGAGTCTGGAAGCTAAGCCGGAAAGAGCCAAGCGCTGGCTACCGGCGCTGGTGTGATCCCTGATTTTCCAGGGTTGGGTGGGTTGCATGTAGGTGATGGTTCGTTGTTGGAGATCGATGTGGAAGCCCAAAAGGCGAAAGTCGTCCACAGTTTCCAATTCGACGGGATCGCCGAAAAAGTTGTTGTGGATGAGGGTCTGTATTGGTGGATGTGAAAGCAAGTGTTCATTGTGGACAATGAAACGGTTGTCGACATACCGATAGTATGTGAAGTGGAGGGCGGTATGTTGGAGAAGGTTGTTGTGGAGCTGGTGCCATGAATGTTCAATGAGTGTGATGGCGACGTTGCAAAGGGCAGGTGAGAGCTGGGAGCCAATCCCAGCCCCCCGAATTTGCTTGTAAGTGTTGTTGCATGCCCGGAAAATGCAGGTGTCGAGTGCGTAAGCCACAATTGTCGTGATGTCAGCTGTGTGGATGGTGCGCTGTGGGATGGCGAATGTGGTGCTGGCCAATGTGGGAGTGGTGGAAAGGATTGCCAGTGGCTTTGGTGTCGACTGTAAGTGTGTGGGTGTTGTTCTGGCGCTGCCGTTGCTGAATGAGAGAGTGAACGGCATCAATCAGGCGGTGCTGGGGAACGGAGTTGAAGAAACCGACGAGATCGTCGTTGGTGGCATGTAAGGGGATGTGAGGAGGTGTGTGGGTGAGGTAGCAGTGGAAAGGGGACCAAAGCTGTGGAATGGACAGTTGACCTGGATGTTGGGGGAGGAGGTGTTGCAGTATAATGTCGAGTGCTCTGCTGGTGATGCGGAGGAGATTGCCGCTCAGGGACTGGAAGTACGATATGATGGTGCGGCCTTTGCGCCAATGCTTCTTCTCTTTGAGGTGGACGATGCCGTATGGGATCGTGAAATCCTTTCGGAAGCCCCATTTGTAGCGTGTGCGGAGGCTGGAGGGGACGGTGTTTAAAAGGTATTCGTGGATGTTCGAAGGGTGGAGTGTTGGCATGGGTGCAAAGAGTTCAGGTGACTGCCAGGTGGAGCGCCCCGGTGAAGTATTGGCGGGGGCAGAAAATGCGCAGCTGTTGTAGTTCATGGTCGGCATGGTGGAGAACAACTTGATCACCCAGGAATTCCTGGAGTTGCCGTAGAAGGCGAGCTGTGAAACGGGGTTGCTGTTTCAAATGGGTGGTGTGGAGCTTCCACTGGTGCTGGAGGAAGGGCTCCAAGTGCTGTGTAAGAGAGGTGGGGAGGCCTTGTATTCGTAACCATTTGGCGAAAGCAGTCTGAAACGAAAGGAAGTATGTGGCCTTGCTGGAGTAAAAAGTGCTGTTCATATTGGCGGCCAGGAAGATGCGGAGATGCGGTGGCAATGTGAGTTGTTCAAGGGTGAGGATGTAATGGTCGTCGACTGTGGGTGTGGTTGGGTCGAGAAGAATGGTTTTGAGGTGGGCGCATGCGCATGGCAAGTCACTGGAATCCGGAGGGATGTGCAACGTACCCTCCCAGGTTCGGTGATTGTGGAGGTGGGCCCTGAGGGTCTTATGGGCTGCTTCCCGCAAGCGATGAGTGGGTAAGTGGAGCGGGATGGCCAGAAATGGGATGGTGAGTGGGATGTTGGGTTTGGGAGGAGTCAGGTTGCGGTATTTGAGCGCCTGGTTGATGATGTGCAGTGCTCTGCTGCGGCCGGGTTCCTCTAAGTTGGAGGCCATACGTCGAATGGCATAGGGTGGTCGGTGGTTGCTTGTGAGGCAGGGCTGTAGGCAGAGGTGTGGTTGATGGATGATGGTGCCACGGTGATGGCTGAGTACCGATTGTAGCACTGTGGGCGCGGAACAGTGCGATGGCCACTGTGGATATGGCCAAGGATACTGCATGTGGATGGCAGTTGGGAGGTCAATCCAACAGGTTGGAGGCTGCAGGAAATGGCGCCGGCGCGGCACAGCAGCTGAGGGAAATAGGTGAAAAGTTGGAAATACTGAAAGATTCCTGAGCTCTGGTGGATCTGCAGTGAGAAAAGGTAAGGTGAACTCATGGTGTGAAATGCAATGCGAAGTGGCATAAAACATGTGGAAGCTGATCAAATGGCTGCGGGTTAAAAAGTTGGGAAAAGCAGTAAACAACGTCGTGGCAATGCAAGATCAAATGAGTCTGGTAATCATAAAAGGGAATCCATCGTTTATAGCCCGGCGGCTCGAAAATCTGCAAATTCAGTGATAGAAATGAACGAGTGGGAAAACAGTTATAAAATTGAAGGACCAGTGAAATCCGGAATGGTTTCTGCGCCTCCTTTCGGAGGGTCACACCCAGCACCCAAGTGGGAAGACTGAGCGGCTCACACTCTGACATTTGTTTTCAGTTAGACTCAGTTGCCACGATGGGAAGGAAGGTGAGGGAACGGAAAGGCGCATGAATCCGCGAAAACCGTATTGTTGAACAATGTTTGCAGCTGCGTTCCAAAACGATCTGACACTCAAAGTCGGTTGCAAAGCGGCGCAAGGCGGTGGTGGGTTTGTGGGACGTATCATGAAGGACCATGAATCAAAAAGTGGAAAAGTGGAGTAACAGCTTGTGAAAAACAAACGAGCAGGTACACGGAAGTGATCAGCTTCCGCTTCCTAGGATCTTGCAAAGAGCTTCGTTGGGCAGAGCTTTGGAAGTCCTCTCTGGCCCCCTGCTGGTGTGGAACGTGGAGGTGATGGGAAACCCTTAGAAACAGGGTGTGACACACACACACACACGTTTGCTTGTCGGCCGCTGGCCCCCTCCCTCGTTGAGTGGTTGTACTGAAAAACAGTGGCATTGAACCCTTTGGTACAGGGGGTGGCACACACACACAGCCTGCAGATCATTGTTCGCATGGAAGAAGCCGGCGCCTCAATGTGGTCTTGGTAAGGGCCTGGAACTGGTCACGCAACAAAGCTACATCAGCCTAAAGATGTCTAATCTAATTGGCACTGGCCCTAACAGGCCGAAATGGCCGAAGGCTGGCCGCCAACTTGTTGCGACGCGGCGTCGTGACCCTCTCTACAATGTCCTCATGGTGATGTGGACGTCCCGGAAAAGCCATGACATCCGAATACCAAAGAGGGGGTCCCCTGTTTGTTGCAGAGAGGGCGCCCACATCAGCTTACTGGCACAAGTTTTGTCCTCTTACCCCTGCCTTTCGACGAACTCCACGATGGCTTTGAAGGCCTCGAAAAAACATAAATAGCAAATCATTTGATCACCTACAGTATTTGATTATATTCGATCCATGTCCAATCAGCACTTCAAGAATCGCTTGAAAAAACACAATTCTCTGAAGAAAGGCCTCCTCTGCTGTGGCATCCACAGAAACCTCCAAGCACCTGGTCACTGGCGACCGGAGGACATGACGAACAGAAACCGGAGGACATGACGATCCTCCGCCTTCCGTGGCGACGCGGTCTCGCCTGCTCACGGCGCCGGGACCATGCAAGACCTGCCGCGAGGGACCCGTGCACGCGGCGTGAACGCCGAGGTGGGATTGTCCGACAAAATACGGAAGGCGCTGCAACAAAAATGTCTTTTTTCCCCAAACAGTTTACTGTTGGGGTTCTATCTTAGAAAGAAAAGAGCTGGCCACACTCACTGGCTGCGCCCCTGAACTCTGTGGCTGGGCTCTGTGGCTGGGCCTTGTCCTCCTCTTGTCCTCCTCTTGGCCGCAACCCTGAACTCTGTGTCCAGGCCTTGTCCTCCTCTTGTCCTCCTCTCGGCCGCGCCCCTCAACTCTGTCAACTCTGTGGCTGGGCTGCGTGGCTGGGCCTTGTCCTCCCCTTGTCCTCCTCTTGGCCGCGCCCCTTGTCCTCCTCTTGGCCGCGCCCTGTCAACTCTGTGGCTGGGCTCTGTGTCCAGGCCTTGTCCTCCTCTTGTCCTCCTCTTGGCCGCGGCGCCGCGCCCCTGTCGGCTGTGGCTGGGTTCTGTAGCTGGGCCTTGTCCTCCTCTTGTCCTTCTCTTGTTCCTCTTGGCCGCGCCCCTGAACTCTGTCAACTCTGTGGCCGGGCTCCGTGGCTGGGCCTTGTCCTGCTCTTGTTCTCCTGTTGTCCTTCTCTTGGCCGCGCCTTGTCCTCCTCTTGTCCTCCTCTTGGCCGCGCCCCTGAACTCTGCCAACTCGGGCTCTGTGGCTGGGCCCCCTGAACTCTGTCTGGGCCTTGTCCGCGCCACCTGAACCCCGTCAACTCTGTGGCTGGCCTCGTCCTCCTCTTGGCCGCGCCCCTGAACTCTGTCAAATCTGTGTGGCTGGGTCCTCCTCTTGGTCGCGCCCTGAACTCTGTCAACTCTGTGGCTTGGCTCTGTGGCTGGGCCTTGTCCTCCTCTCTGTGGCTGGGCTCTGTGTCCTCCTCTTGTCCTCCTCTTGGCCGTCAACTCTGTGGCTGGGCTCTGTGGCTGGGCCTTGTCCTCCTCTTGTCCTCCTCTTGGCCGCAACCCTGAACTCTGTGTCCAGGCCTTGTCCTCCTCTTGTCCTCCTCTCGGCCGCGCCCCTCAACTCTGTCAACTCTGTGGCTGGGCTGCGTGGCTGGGCTCTGTGTCCAGGCCCTGTCCTCCTCTTGTCCTCCTCTTGGCCGCGCCCCTGAACTCTGTCAACTCTGTGGCTGGGCTGTGTGGCAGGGCTCTGTGGCGCGCGCGTTCTGACATACGCTCCACATAGCGCGCTCTACAGAGTGAAAGACAGAGAAAGAGAAACTTAAAGAGAAAGAAAGACAGAGAGAGAGAGAGAGAGAAAAAGAGAAATAGAGAGAGAGAGAGAGACAGATCTGGACGGCGCGATCGGGCGCGCTCTGACATACGCTCCAGAAAGGCAGAGCGCGCCTTGCAGAGAGAAAGACAGAGAAAGAGAAGCTTGAAGAGAAAGAGAGAGAGAGAGAGAGAGAGAGAGAGAGAGAGAGAGAGGGAGAAAGACAGCAGGGCGAGCGCGCGCTCGTGTGCTATGGACGGCTTACTGGGCTCTTGTCCTCCTCTTGTCCTCTGTGCTGGGCTCTGTGGCTGGGCCTTGTCCTCTTGTCCTTGTCTTGGCCGCCCCTGAACTCTGTGGCTGGGCTCTGTGGCCCGGCTCTGTGTCCGGGTCTTGTCCTCCTCTTGTCCTTGTCTTGGCCGCGCCCCTGAACTCTGTGGCTGGTCTCTGTGGCCCGGCTTACTGGAGAGGAGTGTGGCCGAACAAATAGCGATGTCAATGCTGACAAAAATTCATTGATGAAGCAGTTTGCTTTTGGGGTGAAAGTAGGGCGTACCAAGAAATCAATTTTTGATTAATATTAGTCTAAACGAATCGTTTTGAAGCTGTTTGGGGTCTATGCTTGTATAATTGTTGTGTTTCTTTTCATATATACTATCATATACTGTAACATATAGCTTGGAGTTGGGGCAACTTCCCAAAAGTACACATCCAAAGCCTGTAAGCCATTTTGAACCACTGGAGATCTATAAATGCTGGAGACCCGCTGGATGGCGTTTGCACGAGGTTGTGACCGGTGCAGCTTTCGCTTTGACTGTCCTTTCAGCCCTTTTCGGTCGTGTAACAGTGTCGGAGGGCTCCAGTGTTGGCACATACATGAAAGGTGGACGCCGAGAAACTGACAAATGCAAGAGACTTACGGATCGTCATCCTCCAGTTGATAGAACATCAGTCCCAAGTTCGAGGCCTTCTTGCAGGCCTCTTTGTGCTTTTGTGTTTTTTCCGAACTGCTCCAACTTTAAAAAGTGTCGGATTTGGGTGTTTTTGTTTGATCGCTGATCGCTTTGAAGAAGACACACTGGCAGTCTTTTTCAACACTGAATCAACCCTTGGATGTTCACGTCATCTCTGAGCGAAGTCTCACATCATCTCACATCGAAAACACCAACGATGCCCAGTTTGGGTGAGGCCTCTTTGATGCGGTCGCTTCCCTTGGAACGAAAGAGGGGAGGTCTCGAGAGACCGAGACCAAAGATGAAAAGGGAACACACCCGAGAGACCGACTGCTGTGGTTTTTGCTTTGGGTCTGTCAACAAGTGAACACCTGGGCTTGGATGAAAAGCTCTAAAATGATTTGTAGATTTTTGGAGAATGACTTGAGGTCCAAGCAAAACAACGTGCTAAGAAGGTCGATTCGGGCACAGACTGATGTGGACCCCAAAGCAGCCTCCAACCTACTACAGTAGCAATGGCCTCCAACCTAATAGCGATGGCCATGATGGCCTCCAACCTATCCCAAAAACCCATTCAGAAAAAATGAGTGATCGCTCCCCCTGGAAGGAGTTGCCTTTTCTGGCATCTTGCTACACAGCTAATTCCTATATTCACCTCCAGCGAAGCAAACTCTGGAATCTGGAATTTGAGTTGTTAACGTCGGATTCTTCCAGTTGATACAGTCGTCCCAAAAAGACAACCTCTTCCAAAAAACACAGCTTTTTGCAACGGCATCAAACAAAATAGCAAAAGGAGCACCCTTTAGACATGTTCTGAAGGTTTTCTGAGATTACGTCGAAATCCGACACCCCTTTCTCTCTCTCTCTCTCGCTCTGTGTATATACGTAGTTGGAGACCTCAAGAGAAAAGAGCCATCCATCTGTCCTGAGGCTCCAGCTGCTCCGAATGTTACAACTCGCCGCGGCATGAGCATCTCATCCTCTTCCATAGGCGGCTCAGGTGATCATCTTCGAGGTGACTACCGCTTGTGTGAAGGGGTGTTTTTAGAGCTTCGAATGGAGCATCGCATTTTAAGCTGAACAATCATCCTTAAAAGAAAACATACATATTAGTACATAGTATGTATATAATTAAGTCTTTTTCCAGAAGAAAGAACCTGCTTCAATTGTCGACAGTGGACAATGGTAACATCTGTAACTACCTGGCTGCATGGACAGTGGGGGAAAAGAAAGACCAACCACCGACCACTTTTTTTGCGACATGTTGCTCAGAAATTCTTTGTCCAAGGCAGTGCTCAAACTGCTCCAACAGTGGAATGCACAAGTTCTGCAACTTTTGCAGAGGTTCCCAGGTTCTCCACGTCCGTCTCTGTCAGAAACCTCCAGACTTTGTTAATTTCACCCGCCGTCTCCTGGCTCAGGCACTCTGCATCCTTCGACAAGTCGGCAACCCAGCCCTGCCTGCGGTCACATCGGAAGGAGCGGATTTTTGTTTGTGTAAGCCATCGATAGCCTTAGTAAACTTACCCTTCTCCATTATAACGCAGTTTTGTTGGGTCACAGTGTGGGTGAAACCGTGTGAAACCACAACCTGAATGAATGAGTGCACCCTTCACCCCAAGGACTCCAGAAGAGTTGGCCTTCAAATCACTCCGAAGTGAACTTTAGCGAACCAAGGCATTCCATAGGTCCCTACTACCTACCGTTTAGTGACAATTCCGCACGCAAGCCCTGACTGATCTCGCGTTCGAGCAATATGATTACCATGCCCTAGCCTTATGTTGTGGTGGCTAAGCTTCCATTGACATCATTGATACAACGATAAGGAAATCAATCGGAAAAACAATTGAACATGAAACCGTTGCACAAACAAGGAAAACCAAAGAACAAATCAGAAGACAAGGAGGATATACAAGGACCAAACAAACAATACAAGCAAACACAACAAACAAGTACGCATAATATCGCATAATCATGAACAAGAGACTCACAGGAATAACAAAGGGGTTGCGGACTTTTAGCGGTATATATATATACACATATTTTTTAAAGTGTAATATTTTTAAAAAGGCTTCAGTCTTCTGTAGTTCTAAAGAGTTTCTAATTATTTCTAATTGATTTTCAATTAGTCTTATTTAATTGTTTTAGTGTTTCTTTTTTTCGGGGGGGGCTTCAGGCTTTTGGAATGTTCATGTGATTTTGGTTAGTTCTAATTGATTTTCAGCTAGTTTTGATTATATAATTGTGTTAGTTGGATACTTTTTATGGCTTTAGTCTTCTGTTCTTCTATTTTTTAAAGTGTTTTTCAATTTGTAAATTCGTTGACATTTTCTGTGAAGTTCCTTCTTACAAAGTCCCTTCACATGTCCTTTCAAATTCTTTTCCAACTTCCCTTCCAAATGTCTTGCATATGTCCTCTAATATTTCTTTTGATTGTCCTTCAACATTTCCTTCAACATGTTGTTGTATTTGGCCTTTTCATGGTTCTTCTAAATTTCCTGCTATTTTCTTAAACTGACCTTATAAATATCCTGTGCATTGCTTTTGAATTAGCTTTTACATTTCTTTTTAAAAACTCCTTTGCAATGTCCTTTTAAATGTCCTTTTCAAAGGCTGCGCGTGTTTCATAACATGTGGACACTTGAGTGAGGTCTAGATAGCTATACCCGAAACTATTTCTAGGCTTAAAACTTAAAGGCTGCAAACTAGTAACAACAACAGCAGTCTGCTGACCGGTTCATAACCTTGGCACAGTTGGTTGGTTTGTGGTAGTGTAACTTGGCGCGACCAAAAAACAGATGTCACGGAGCTTCCCCAATGAATCTTCCTTTGATAACTGCAATGGTCTCTGCACTGGGTCGCTGGGTATCTGGGCAAAGTTTTGCAACTGCCTTCCTTTCTTCCTGCCTTCCTTCCTTCCTCCCTGCCTTCCTTCCTCCCGCCTGCTAAGCCTCAACAAAAAACGTATCCCACTAAAAAACAACAATGTAACATATCCCACTAAAATATAGCCCCCAGAACAAACAGACTCAGCTCAAGATGCTTGTTCTGAACCTGCAAGGACGCCTTTTGCAAACGACAATCTAGACGAATCCCAGCCAAACAACTCTAGACGCCTGGGGGCCAGTTTCTTTTTTCAAACGTTCCAAGGCAACGGTTTGAGAACAATTGCAAAGCTTGAAAAATATCAAAGTCATTGGGAACACACGGACGAAGAACAATTTAGCAACACATCGGAAAGCAATTGCGACAAAACACACACACACACAATAGGAAACCCATTCTGGTCCTTTCGTAGTGGGGAAGGGGCTTCATCGCTCTCCCATCACCCCCGGACTTGATCAGGCAAATGCTGGAGAACTCTGAGCACATTTACCGAATTTAGCTGTTGATGTAGAGTTGCAGCTGGACTGTAGATGTTGTAGCTGGTTCTTATCTCCTTTCCTTGGCTCTCCAAGTCTTGTGTTGTTCATTTCAGCATATTTTAGCTACTTGTGTGTCGTTTGCTGTTGCTTCTTGACTTATGTTTTCCGACCTTTTTCCTATTAGTGTTTCAATAAGTTGTCCTAGTTGTTTTCCTTTTTTGCTGTATACATTACAGTAACTATTTTTGCGCTCTATAGGATCTGGCTGAGAAAAAAGCGGACTCCGGTGCCGCAAACCCTGCGTGGCTCTACATTGACAGCTTCATTGGATCATATTGGATCAACATAAGACTAGCCCGTTCACTCGTGGGCTTACTTGCCTGTCAGGCTTGTACACAAGGAGCCTATGCTTTATCACATTCATATCAATGAATGACACCAGATCCTTCGCAATGATATCGACTCGGAACCTTTGTATTATAGGACAGGCTGAATGGCTAGAAAGGCGTGAGGCTCACTCAAATATTGAGGCAGGAGGAATGATAACCCTAGAGCTAGTGGGCAAAGCTATTTTGATTGAGTGCACACTTCAACAAACGCACAGCAGTCGTGCTGAACCAATTTTCGGGTCGCGATTTCACTGGCTTCAGCATTGGCCCCATTGGCTGGTAAAGGAGATGAGGATTCTTGCCCAATAAAAGACCCAATGGACTCCCGCAAGCTCAGTAAATGGACACCTGATGCTACCCTGCAGGCTACCATATGGAGATCAATTGGAGCATCAGGAGGACACCAACATCAGCAGAAGTCGGTGAAGTACGTTGAGTCTGTTTGGAGGGACGACAAATTATGTGAATATAGACGACGCACAATTTGAACTTGCCCGAAATAGACAGGTAGTGAATAAGACCAACGTGAACTGAAGAATATATTCAATGTATTCAATGTATATAGCGGTGATCATTCGATCATACATAGTCTCTTCGGATCAAGTTCCATCCACAGCTCTCTGCAATCACCATCAATCAATTATACTTTCAGACTGACTAGTAGCCGCGAAAATCCAAAATTCATGTAGATAAGTGCGTTTCCCTAAACATCTAGGAACCAAATTGTTTCTAGGTTGGAGGCCATCACTGCTAGGGTGGAGGCCATCAACATCTAAGAACCAATGAATCGTGAAGGAGCGCTTCTTCTGGTGGAAGAGAACGAAGCTGCCCCCGGCGTGAAACATGAAGCGTGAGCTATCTTGCGTCCTACCTGGAAGCTAACTTAGCCTATGAGCTTTCCTCCTTACTTAATCAAGTAGGCGCCGACTTAATTAAGTGGGAGCGGGCAAACAAACAGCTAAAACCAATCTTCCTCTTCGGATTGCCACACGTGGCATCCCACGTGGCATCCCACCGCAACGGTCGCCTCTGACAGTCCACCTGCCGCAATCGGGCACCTACAATGCCCAGCGGATCCTGGCGGTCGAACGCAAAGCCGAACCGCGTCCACGTCCGGGCCCGGTGGATCTTATGGCCTCAACCCGGGCCTCCGAGTTCACTCGGGTTCTGACCTCAACCCGACGTCCTTGCTCCTAGTAGCGATGCCAGGAGCCCCTAGTAGTAGCGTCCTTGTTCCTAGTAGGATCTTTTTGTCGGATGTGTTTTTCTTGTGGGTTGCTCCAACAGCTCCAACACGTTGGATGTCTGCATGGTTGGATGTCTTGCGATGGATGTCCAACACGTTGCGGAAAAGCGCCGGAAAACAAAAAGGTGGGGCTTCCCAGTGGGTTGCCTCTTTTTGGCCTTGAAAGATGAAGGAGTGGAAAAATAATGTCTTTTCCGCTCTTGGAAAACCGGTCCATTGCCACAATAGCAAAATATATAACCACTGGGAAATGAAGAGGACATAGTGACACAGTTCGACAAGGTTGTCGTTTTTTGAAGTGAGCCTATCACTTTTCCAGGTTTCGGCCAACCCTTTTCTATTTTGTGACCGCTCTGTTACCACCGCCACTTTTGATTGGCTCTGCTACCACCTTTGCCGTTCTTGATTTTGGTGGTAACATCAAACATGAACAAAAAAAAGGAAAGGTTCCAAATCGGTTCCCCAGCGCCTTCTCAGCGGCACACGCCAAGGCCAAGGACACCGTGGAGTCTTCTGCTCCAGGCGTGGCCAAACTCGGCGGTGGCAGCTGGGAGCAGGAACAGTGAGACCCTTGAGACCCGTGGGAGCTGCACGGGAGATCTCACCACTACAAACTGAGGGTCTCAGGGTCCCGGTATGGGTGTCTTTTTCATTGCAAGACGCGATCTGGTAATGTGGTATGACTCATTCCACCCCATTGGTTGGACTTGCCTAGCGTTCCCATCTTCATGGACTGATTGTGATGTGTTCCAAAGCAGGGGACTTGAAGGAAAGCAGGGTGTCACTGCGAGTTTCATGGCGTTTCACAACCCAATTGGACATTTCACAGGACTCATCAACACGCCTCTGTTCCAAACCTGTCACATGGTTTGAGTGCTGGGTCAATCAGCAATGTGATGAGTGCTCCATTAGGCACACCCGGCGCACCCTTGTTTTCGCTCCAACATGTTCCAATATTATTGAGCAACTACCTAAACTCCTGCTGCCCTTCTTCGGTTTTACTGTCGGATGGTCCGTCTATGGTGGATGGTCCGTCAAGTGAGGACTTGTTTTGGTACGGATTCAGGCTGATCAAAGGATCATCAGAAGCATTGCAAGACTGCCACGGGATAAAAGAATCATGGTTTCTCTTTTCAGAATCATATCCACAAACAGAACTCATCACCACAAATATGAATGGCGCAATCGCAACGCGAATGTCTAGCCTGCAAATTAAGGAGATCCCTCTGTTCCCTGCTGAGTTGCCCCAACTCCTTCAACAGCTTCTGGCTACTCACAAAGACGGCCCCAATTCGCATGGCCAGCTTCCGAGCACAGTCGGCAGCCTCGGTCGCCATAGGCAGGCACTTCAGGAATTCAGCGTGCAGCGTGAGGAAACGAACCAAGTCTTTCTGGTTCTTCATTGATGTGAGAAAAGAACTCATCGTGATCCATGGATTGGGTCACTTCTGGAGATGCTGCAACTGCATCATTCATGTGTACAAAGAGGCTGCAAAGGCTCGTACAGGAGAACCTGCGAACGAGCACAGCATGAAAAAGGATGAGCCACAGGCTCTGGTGACTGGCAACTAATCAGTCTTGTGCCAAATGTCATATGTATGTGTACACATGTTTGTCACCATCCTTTTGGTCACAGTATCATATCATAACATGTACAATGTTTGCTGTTCTGCACTGTCGAATTCTTATCCGCCGTAACTGCATAGTACCTCCATGGCCTCAATTGTCAGCTAAACATGTGGAACTGCTCACACCCATCTTTGCCATGCAAAACATACCACCTGGTCACCTCAAAAAAAGAAATATATCAACCACCGTATCTATGTGTCGAACTGTGGTCTATGATTTCCCTTCTTTTCGGAAGCCCTGCCCAAGCAAATCTGCTTTGGCTGTCAACACCTTCGGCTCCAGCGCCTTCGGCTCCGAAAATGGCCACCCTTGGAGGAGGCCTGACGCAAAAGGCACACCCTTCGACGTGATCAAAGCTGCCCTGAAAGAAGGCAAAAGCTTCGAGGAAAAGTGCCACAGCGAATCACCTCACATATCAATATACATACTGTAGTAATTATGCTGCCACAATGTATGCACAATGTATCCACAGACAAAAAAGCTTCCTGGTCCCTTGTATAAACAAGAGCATCTCATCTTCCTCACGAAACAGCTGGTGATCGGTTCTGGGCTTTCCCATTTCCCCTGGGAAGCCCGGCGAGGGTGCTTTTGAACGGGGTCGAAGGCAAACAGCTTTCTCCTCAGCTCTATCGGCATTCCGACCAGCAGTAGCAGCATAAAGATCAGGACTCCCTACGCATCACCAGGACCCGGGGTGGACACTAAATCGCCCCATCACACATCGACACCACATATCGCCACATATCGTTTCCTAGGATGTGTCCAAATTTTTCATTCTGAATACTCTCTCAGACTCTCCAAGAATGAGTGACTATATGTTGTACATCTCATGCTGTCGCCGACAGGCTTTTTTGAAACTTTTGTTCCTTTGCTGCAATGGTCAGCACTGACTGGGGCCTCCCTGTCTGGGGCCTAGGGGAACTCACAGAAACGACCGTCACATCAGTCAAACGACGGTGTCCGGACCCACATCACTCGAGGAGCTGCTCGTGGCGACGACACGTCGCCGTGTCGTCCCGGGGCGGTGACGAAGGTGTTTTGGTGTGATGGAATGGAGGGGAGCAACCGGTCACAAGGACGAAATGCGGTTCTACCTGCCAAACATCCTGAAACATCCACAAAACATCATACAACCAGTTGATATTCGGTGAATGGCTGTCACCTGCATAATCCTGCATATTCCATAATGCTACTTCATGATCAAGGTTTTGTTCGGGTGCGGGCCAGGCCCAGCAAATATCAAACATCCAAAACGAGCTGCCCGAAAGACCCGACCCTCCAGCAAACGCATTTGAGGTGCTTTGCTCTCGCATGTTCTGTTGCTCAAAGGGAACATGCGATTAACTTCATGGTGGTCTTTGATGTTGCTGGGCTGGCACGGCATGAACAAATCATGATGCCGACATGGGATATCAATGTTACCCTTTTTGCTGGTCAAACAGTTTAAGGTGTGAATCTTAACAATCAATATAAATTGTCTCAGTAGGGCTTAAACCATCTAGTTTGGAAGATTGGCTTCACTCAAGTTGGGTCTCTTGGTTTCCTCTTGACTTGTTCAATCCCGTTGACTCAACAGGGCTGGGATTCCCCACCATTTGGGCCAGGACCTCTGCAGCATTGGCCTCAGCATTCACCACCTCAAGCGCGGCCGAGACTTGCCCGACGCGGCTAGGTCGACTCCGCCAAACTGTGGCATGCACAGGACACGCAAACTGTAAGGAACCTACTTGCGATGGCCTCCAACCTACTTGCGATGGCCTCCAACCTACTTGTGATGGCCTCCAACCTACCAGCAATCGCCTCCAAGCTAGTAGCTTCATGCTACTAGTAGTAATGGCCTCCAACCTAATAGAGTCGAGTAAACATAGGACATCCAAGAAAAGAGGATTTCAATTCAGAAATACGAAACATTATGAAACCCTGTGACTGGTTCTCCCTTCTCAGCGGTGTTGTTGTTTAGCCTGCATTGAATCAGTTCTGGAATCCTGTAGATTTTGTGGGTGCAAAGAAGACACACGTACACGCTCGCACAATCCGCCTAGTACTAGAAATGAACTGGTCTACCAAGGGCATGCTCCCTCCTGCTAAGTTACTACAGTAACCTTTTACTTTCCCACACCCACACATGGACATAATTGATTGTGATATATATATATATATATTAGTAATTATGTAGTTATTTATATATGGGGGTTGTCCCAAATACCTTGCCAGAAAATCACTCGTTTTTGGATCACTTCTATCATTCTATCTGTTTCTATTACATATCACAAAATACTAAAACTGATCGTTTCGCGGTCAAACAAACACTCCGAGCTGAGCCACAAAGGTGCGATCCGCATAGTCCTCCAACCTCAGCATGCATGCTGCAGGGTGCACAGCATGTGATCGAGCCGTTGGAGGATGTCTACACATGTCTGCGTCTGCCCTCCAAAGATATCTATTTGAACGCTCCAAGAATCCAATAAATTTCTACACCAATCAAACATTCAACATCGTGTTCCATCTGAAACATGAAGTCATGCTCAATGCTTTCCACCGGAAATCTCCGCCCTCTCCTCCGGCTCTACTACCCTCCCCAAATACTGGAACACTTGTCTCTGGAAGCCTGCCAACTGAACCGCGCTGGGAACCACTGCGCGGTCCCCCCCTAAGCCGCTCAAGGACTCGACGCTAAGGCGTTGTGCGCAATGAAGAGCTTCAAGCGGGCGTCTAAAACCTCGACAAGAAGGGTGAACAGGGCAGGGCTAAGGGCATGGGGCATGTGCTCGCGACAAGCGACCAAAAAAGGGATCCGGCTTTTGAAAGAGGCCGCAGGGAAGGACTTGAGCATGAAGGCAATGTAGCTTAAAGTTCTTGTGGCATTGTTTGGTTCTTTGGGCGGTGGCGGGCATATGATCCCAATTCAAACTAGAGGTTTCACAAAAACTAAACTTGTTCCCAGATGCTAAACGCCCGATCGCATTGTAAATCTGAGAAATATAAAAATGTTCAAAAAGTTCAGGATCACCACCTTTGCCACCTGGTTGTCCCCCTGATTGCTTGTTTGTCCGCCACTCCTCATGGCATGTTTTGGCCTGGGTATTGAACGACCCAATTAAAACAAGGTGAGCCCGCGGACCCAAAAGCAAAAAGAAGCGTGCAACCCAGTAAAAATAAACAAACACACATTAGCAGGCCAAAACGAAGCATCAGCCCCCTCTAGGCTTCGTGGCAACCATGATATTTCAAGCATCGTGGCTCTGGTGCGCATCCGTCCACCCTGTCTGCCATATACACTCCCGTCCACCCCTTGGTCAGTTTTGAAAGCCCTCCAAAACGGTCATAAAACGATTGCAACATGGCTTCAAACAACCCTCTGGCATGCAACCATCCTGCCGTTTCTGCAATGACTTGGGCTGTCTTCGGCATAGATTGCACACATTCTGGACACCCAAGACCGTCATATAGGCCGCGCCAGACAGTTCCACTCGCGAATATCGTTCTTCCGCGAGGCATGGAGTAGCATTAGCCCCCCATGCTTCGTTCTACTTAGCATCCATCTCCTTCCACAGCCCCGTCCCTGCCCATCCACCCTCCCATCTCCATCCATAGCCCCGTCCACACCCATCTTCCGTCCACGAAAATGCTTGCCTCGTCTCGCTCTAACGACTAAACTAAACGAGAACCCAAGCATCGGAGATTCTTTTGGGAAAAGCACACACATGTGTGCTGCTGTGCCAGCGCTACAGTGCATCACACGCGATAAAATGCGTTCGGGTCATTCGTCGTCTAATGTTTAATTTTTTGGCGTAGATTTCCAGTGGCGTGCATCGTTGGCATGATCAGGGCGTCGATATGGCGGAGATATCCCAGGAGGAGAGGATTTGTCGTTTGTTTTTCTCGAACAAACCTTTGCGGGCTTCGATCTTGAGAATTTACACCGGCAAAGATGCTAGATAGAAATATCGTTGCAATAAGAAGAAAACAAAACGGTTCCCTTTTTAGTCGGGTTGGAGGTTGGATGTATTATATGCAAAAGTATACATCAAGTGGCTGTTTTCAATCTCTGCAGCTGGTCAATCCCCATTGCAACATGGCTTCTGACAACCGTTCCAGGAAGCATGGAGCAGCATCAGCCCCCTCCATGCTTTGTTCCAAGCATCAAATTTCAAGCATTGCGGTGCTGGCATGCAACAATCCTGCCGTTTCGGCCATGACTTGACTGTCCGGCGCATGCATTGTGCACATTTTGGACACGCAAGACCATCATATAAGCCCTGCAACACAGCTCCCCTCGCGTCAGAACGTGCTGCCGCGAAGCATGGAGCAGAACTACCCCCACCCATGCTTCGTTCTACTTGTGAACTGACCAGGAGCAGCCTGCAATGATGCTTGTGGTGCAACCATGTCCTCGTAACTAGCATATCAGCCGCGCAAGATCGCTCCACTCGCACAATGAAATTCTGCCGCGAAGCATGGAGCAGCATCGGCCCTCTCCATGCTTCGTTCCAATTAGCACCTTCCCTCCACAGCCCTGTCCACACCACACCCATGCACCAGAAGATGAACCCCTTTCTGCCAAATGCTCCGGTGATGTTTCATGTTTTTCAGCGGCGGCTTCCCTGAGTTTTCAACCCCGTCGTCCGACCCAATGGCCCGCCCCACGAGAAGATATGAACATCTACTAACAAAAAGGACCAAATACTGACCAAGACAAAGGATTGTTTTGATACCATATTTCAAGACAAGAGGATTGGAGAAATTGTTTCTTTGCAAATGCCCACAGAAGCTACTAGGGGCTCCTGGCATCACTACTAGGAGCGATCGGACGCTACGAACGGGGCTCCTGGCCGTACTACTAGGAGCAAGGATGCTACTAGGGCTCCTGGCCGTACTACTAGGAGCGATCGGACGTTACGAACGGGGCTCCTGGCCGTACTATACTGGGAGCGATCGGACGCTACGAGGGGTTTCGCAATTTGGAATTGTTTGCATGTGACTTCTTGAGCCCACACGCCGAAAACACCGTCGCCTTCTCGCTCCTTTCCCGCACGCCTCTGGTGTCGCTGCTGCTTCACCCTTGACGTCGCCCTTGAGGAGACTTTCTTGACGCCGTTGGATGTATTTTTCCGAGGCCTGGGGGTACAGTGCCGACATCGAACGAGTGCCGGACATGGACAACCGGCCGAAGAAGACCACCGGCCACCGTGCCGGACAGACTGGTTCCATCAGGTTTTCGTCCCAGTCGGAAGCTCTGCTGGGCTCGGGGTGAGACCTTTTTGGCAGCTTGGGGTGATTTCTTTCGCTGATTGAAGCTCATGTGTGGGCATCTGAAGTCACAGTCCATCAAACTTGAGAAGCACACCTGGAGTTGAAGCACGTGCGTGGGCACCTCGGTTGTTCTGTGTGAAGCAGAATCCAACAGAAACCTTCGACAGCTTCCCACACGTTGGTGAACAAAAATACGGGCCGTACACTTCTCTTCGAGCTCTTCCTCTTTGAAGAATGAATGAACTTAAGAACCCCTTGACATCATGGACATGGATTTCGGGAATCCCATTATGCTGTTGAGTCTGTTGAGAATACGGACTTTCCACATCTTTGGGCCGATGTAGTGTTGTAGCTGCAAACATAAGTTGTACCGCTTAAGCACTCTGTTTTCATCTGATTCCTATCCCTGAACATCACCAGTCTCAACTGTTCAAACAGTATTGTGTAGGCTCCAATTTATAGGACCGGGAACACCATGACTGGAGAAAGCACTCCAATCTGCCAGATCATGACATGGTACAGTATCTATATCGATAACAATCAACAATTTTGCCAAACCACACATGTCCAAGACAGTAAATTCAAAAACTCTATTTTCAGGTAATGAAGATTCATCAACTAACGAGCTGCAGCCAAAATGTTAGTTATGTGATGCATCCACAAGAAAAAACGAGCAAATGACCATGCTTCCGACAAAGCTCGTCAATGAATCCTAAATACACACAGTAAATCAGTTGATTTTTTTGCAAAAATCCAGGCAACATCCCATGCGTGTCATCTTGATTCTCCAATAAAGACATGTGCCTCCGGATGCCTCCGGTATCCATCATCCAATTTTCAGGTGCATGATGTCTTTGACATCCTGGTTTTGAACGCACACCCCAAAATACCAACAACTTCCAACATGTAACAACACCTCCACTATTGAAAAACAAATCAGAACTGTTTTGCGTAAATGAATTAAGGCTACTGGCCTTCAATCATTGAGGATTGAACTTCTGCGTTCAACTAGTTAACGAGTCAAATCTCCTTTGAGAAGGCAAGGCCGGAAACGAAGAGAGTACAATATAAGGCGCTCACGATTCTATAGTGGACAAAGAACATGGTAGATTTAGAGCTTCATGTTCATACTTGCGTGTCAATCAATTTGACATGCTTCATGCTTAGCTTGCGCTGCTGCTGTTTCACAGTTCTTGGCTTTAAGTGGCTTGCAGGAATGCAAGCTGAAGCTGTCACAATGCCTTCACAATGCGCGTATACAATGTCCTTATCGCACAGGCGTGTAGGTATATATATATACATATAGATATATGATATGATTCTGGTATATATATACATATATGCACACTACATTTATGCATTCTCAGCATTCAGCGGAGGGCCAAGCAACATGGTGCAAAAAGTCTGCATCCGCTCATCGGGCGGGCAAGACCACTTCGGGGGGTGGGGCTGCAAAGATGGGTGTGTTCCACTAGCGAGACTTTGACACGCCACTTTGGTATGTTGGAAAGCATAGGCTCCCCATATGGATTTTCAACATCAAGGCAACTCTAAACTCTAAACTGGCTCTTTGTGGGTTATTTTTTTTTTATATTCTGCTTGATTCTCACACGTGCTTCATGTGCTCTACATTTTCTTGTTCTTAGTGTGTGCAATTCTTTTTTGGAACCACATGCGCATTTTAATTGACAGAAGTCATGAGTTAAACGGAAACAAGGGCGGGCATGTCCGTCACAAGCTGTAAATTACAGCGATCTTACCAGCAACATCCCAAAACAGAGCAATGACCTCCAACCTAATAGCAATGGCCCCATCCTAAATGCGATGGCCTCCAACCTAAGAGTGATGGCCTCCAACCTAGAAGCAATGGCCAACCTAAGAGCGATGGCCTCCAACCCAAGGCGACATTCCATCTACTTCTACTATGAATCTATTATTCCGACGTTACGTCGAGTAATTTCCCGAGGAAACCCGAGGCAGCGACGATGGATTTCTCCTTGAGGTAAGTCGTCTGGCATGGATTCCTACAGATAGAAGTATTCACAGAAGAGCATGGAAACCACTCAACTGACCCACAAACCTTTGAGATCTCATGACTCTTCCATCCAGAAATGCAACTTTCCAAGTGATGTTCCAAGCCTCTCCAAGCCACAACTTATACATGCCGTGTATATATATATATATGTAGTGTTTTCTCTATATATGATACAACATCTTGGGCTATATGTGTCTTGACATAGAGCAGTCCTGACCAATTGCAAGCAAAATCGACCAATCCAATTGTTTAAGTCGCACATAGGCTTAAACTCCTCACCACACGGAAACGCGCCAAACCTTGGGAAACCATCCAATACAAAGCCTTGCATCTTGTGCTCAGCCTGTCGCGCCGGAAAAAGGGGGTGTGCCACGAAGAGCTCGAGTGAAGAACTGAGATCAAAGATCGACCCGGTATTGATCCCTTCACTCCTAAGAATGAATTTCAGAATGCATGGGTCGCAACCCTCTGGTTTGAAGGTGAATCTTCCCTGCTAGGACTCCTCATGCAAGATATCTATATATGATTAAATATGCAACCATAACGAGAAACAGTTTAATCCCTTCTGACCTGATCTTGTGTGAGGCAGCCAACCCACCTGTCCCACCCAGCGTGCGACATGTCATTGGAACTTGGTGGTCGTCCAGGACTATATAATGGGCTTGGTAAGGTTCAATCCACACGATGACACCATGCAAACGGATCGGGTGTGGCCTCCACCTAATAGCGATGGCCTCCAACCTAGTAGCAATGGCCTCCACCTAATAGCGTCCTTTAAAAAACTAACTACCCCTACACATAAGAGAGTCTACACCTACACCACCTTGAGCCTTTGGACATCTTTGAGGTCTTCCCATAGATTGGGTCAGCACCATTCAACCTCCCACCTCCCACTCCCACCAGGATCACATGACGTGGGACGTGTCAGCAGTCTCATCGCACAGCAAGATGGCCTGCTTGATCAACTCCAAGACCAGCTTGGCCACCTGGAGAATGCAAACTCTTGATTGACAACCTCCCCAAACATGAATTGCAAGACCTCTCCATGTTTTGGAGGTTTTATTCATCAAGAGTCTACATTAAAAGAGCGGCTTCCCCTGCATATCTTATCAAGGAATATTAATGACTATTAACGGGGTGTCGCAACTGGACCCACTCTCAGCCGACGACTCGACTCAGAACACCTGGACCCGCACCCTGACCCGATCGATCTCGGAAAGATCCAGTCTGTTGTTCTGGAAGAAACAACACCTTTTTTGTACTAGTAGTGAGAAACTGCTGCACCATTTCATTTTACATCGGGTCCGTTTAAGAGAGGCTAAACCACTACATTACAGAGTTGTAGAAACACAATGGCTTTTGCGACCTCCTTCGAACCACACTTCCTATAAATTGAACGGGGGTTCCAAAGTCCCAGATGCCTGACAAAATCAAATCAACACCAGCAAAGGACAATAAATTTTTGGCCGATGATGATGGGATGTTGATGAATGTTGGGTTACTCTGAAATATGCCTCCTCCTCCTGGCTGGAACAGGGACAACCTGAACACATTTCCCACCAACTTAGGCTGTAAACAAGCACCCTGGTGTTTCCACGTGTTTTTCTCTTCTTCAACAATGGCAAACTGCTTGTTGTGGCCTCGTCGTCCGCAGCGGAGCTGAGATTCTTCGTGTCAACCTTGAAACCAATCAATTTCAGTTGACGATGAATCCACCGCAGAATAATCAGAATAGGTCTGTATGAGTCTGTATAGTTAGAAATTCATATGGTATTCTCAATCAACAACGTGTATGATATACAGGATATACCCTTCCTCCTATAATCATGGAAGTGGATTGCATGCCCCCTTTTTTGACCCCTTTTCATCCGGGACAACCACCTCTTCCCCATCCACCATTTGGATTGACGGTATTGTGATGTATTGTGTTCCGGACCCACCTTAGGAGTCTAAAATTTCAATATGTGTCAAACTAAAATTTGGAGTTGGAGTTCCGCTTCAACCGTCTGTCTTCCCCAAGCTGGTTGCATGGTGGTTGATCAGCATTCCTTTGCTGAAGCGCCATTCTTCGCCAAAACACCTTTACTTTCGCGAACTCCATGTTTAGCTTTCACGGGAGCACCTTGTTCTATCCATGTGCGAAAAAGACTCTACTATCCATGGTTCGCTCATCTACCTTGGTGACACAGCACAAAAATTACGCCAACATAGGCCCCAGATAGCACAAAAATGCACAAAAGACTGTGGGCAGCGCCCAAATATATTGTTCTCTTCATTCGACGTAGATGTGATCTGGCAGCGGCACCTTGCAGCACCGGCATCCTGCAGCCACACCCTGCAGCAGCACCAGCACCCAAGCTCCAAAGAGCACACGTCCATAGGCAGGCACCCTAGAGCGGCACTTTGCACTAGCACCCACTAGCGTCACCCACTGCCATAGACAGCAGCAGCACCCTGCAGTGGCACCAGCACCCAGGCTCCAAAGCGCACACAAACAACTCTTCTTATACCTATAGTTGTAGTAAGAACCGCGATGGCTTTCGGTATCTGGGGAAAAGGGGTTGCAAACACTTCACTGGAAACGTTACATAGGTAGCTGTTGTCATCCTGTTGTCATGCTCATGTCTTGCTAGGCCCTTCTCTGCTTAGCTCGGAGAACACTGGCATAGGCTACGGCACGCCTCTATATATTGTGGAATCAGTCCTTGGCTACGTGGGCAGGGGTCTACAAAACAATTCGCAAATGCTTTCACGGAACTTTCGCAAACAAATGCCCCGTCATTAGTGGGTTTCTGTCTACAGGGATTTTGCATGGTAAGTGTGAGCCATGCACTGTGCAAAACATATATATAACTGTGTGTGGGTCAAAGCTCCTCCCGAGTGAAGGATGTATATATATGTATACATCTGAGCGTCCGTTGTCTTTGGTATACTACGTCGAGGGAAACATTTTGATTAAATTGGGCGATAGTTCCAAGAAAACGACGCCCCCCCAAAAGAATGAGAATTGGCTCAACATGGTTTTGCCTTGAAGAATCAGAAACAAACAAAACTACAAGTGATATTGAACCATTTCAGAGCTAAACCATGTGTAGATCTACCCCTTGAAGCATCAGGACAAAGCATGAAAGGAAGCAACTGTCGAATATAAAGTAGAAATATCCCCTGCGAGGGCAGTTTGCCCCACCATAGAATCACATATCAACCTCCTGCAGTGCTGGAAACATGTTCTCTGTGTGGGGACATATGAAGGTAAAAAAATACAGGACAAAGGTGGCCCAAGAGGTTGGCTGTTAATTTATAGAGACATGTTTGGACAATGCAGGGTTGAAATTGATTTTAGACACATGTTGGACAAAAGTGGCCCAAGAGGTTGGTTTTGCCCTGCTGCTACTACTACTACTGCTGCTACTACTACTACTACTCCAAATGCTTTCTATACAATCAAATTTGTTGGGACCTCTAAAAATCTGGTGACATGTCGTGCCCTCTCATAGAATGAAATGTCGGCACCCATTTTGCGAGAACAAACAAAAACGGACATTTTTGGGATCCCATGTTTAACATGTGTCTTTTCAGGTAGGTTAAATATTTTTTCTATTCTATAAGAAACTTGTCTATAAAATCTGAGGGTCATTTTGAGCTCAAGCTCTCAGATTCTATAGTTTATTGGGCAGGGGATAGTAAAAATAGTATCTTTCGCGGATGTATCGCGAAACAACATGTTTACTTTCGCACTCGGAAATAAACCTTCGCGAACAACATAAAGAGGCTCTTGATGACATGGGCCTTATGTCGACCTTTCAATCAACTACCACATATTATTGTAGCACAGCGACAGCGCACTGGTGCACTAAGCGACGTGTACCCAGATTGTGGCGAATCCTACTACACACTGCGTACGACTACTATTCAATTTTGTCAAGTGAAGGGACCTGCAGGCATCACTTGTCTTGGGATTTGGCATTTGATTCATACTAAACAGCTTGGGGTTTTGGATGTTTTTGGGTTGGTCTTTATCTCACAGTTTCCTCCATGCGGACTCATCAAGCTAGGGCGCAAGGGCGATCATCGTGAGAAAAAGGTCAGAAAGAGATGATCTCGAGTCAATCCTCTGTAACACTGTACGTAACTCTGTAAGCGCTTGAAAGACCACTTGAAACACAGAGTGTTACAGTTCTACATAGTTCTGATCCGTTCTGCCTGTTGCGAAGAACGAAGAAAGGCTACAAACTGCTCCGGAGGGGGCCAACACCTATCCTACAACATCTTACAAATACATACAAATACAAGGGTCTCCAAGCACGGGATTGATCAACGATCATGATACGGGATCGATCAAAGCTCAGGGAACATGACTTAGGACCCTTTCACGGATTGCGAGGGGCTTTGAATTTAGCCAATGGCTTTGCAGCCAAGAAAGGATATGGGGAAAACACCGGAACATGACCCAACACATCCCAACACCCAATATCATCTGGAAAATCCTGTGTGCTTGACCTACTGGGATCAGGGCATTAAACAAAGGGGGCCAAGCACTGGAGGATCTCTGGAAGACTTTCACCAGCAACTCCGGTCATAGGTCGTAGGACTCTTCTCTCGGTCGTTTGAACCGAACAGCGGACTGGGTGACGTGGGTTTTCCGTTGCGGAGGCTCTGTTGATCAGATCGACGGGTCTTTTCGATGGACCAATTCGTCGGATTTTGTCAATGAATTCCGGGAACCTGCCTGCCAGGTTGACCATGTAGTGGGCACAGCTTGTTGGGATGACCGTGTCACAACTAGCAAAAAGACTTAAAGACGCGAATAATAGCAGCACGAATCGTGTCTACCTCTATGACCCCACCCTACAGCTTAACAGTTCCCGAGTCTGCCCGACTGACATGGAATTTTGGTGATCAACTGACACACTAATTAGTCCTTTTCCACCTGGAATTTTCCCCACAGTTGCACTGGCTTCCCAACAGCGACCGAGCAGCGCTGGCTTCCCGGAGCAGCTCCCCAGCCCCAACGTAGATCAGTCCGAAGCGCTCTGCCAAGCTCCTCGACCGCTCCGAGAAAGTCACGGTGCACCGCTCAGTGGAGCGATCTCGAGGTCTCGGAGAGAGGTCTCGGTGAGCGCGTTCGGAGCGAACCGAACACTGAAGCATCAGATCAGTTCAACTTCTTAGGCCACGTTTGGTCCGCATGACAGCTGTACCAATCTCATGTCGAATCGACTTGATGTACCGGCCCACGTTTGACCGTGGAAGGCGGCTTCTCCCGCCCCAACCGAAGGCGAACCACCGGAGGCCAAGCACCGAAGCTGTGGGGAGATGGATGTGGGAGACCAATACACACCTGGCTGTGAGGCCGAGTCGCCTCCAGCCCCAGGGACCCTGGATCATATCCCAGGTTCATGTCTAGTCCGTGCTTTCATCAGGGTTCCCCAGTTATAGACCCATCATCGCCACTCCTGGCGAACTCGCCTCGACCTCGGGGACAGCCGCAGCGGGCGGACGACCGTGTCATGAAAAAGAACGTGAGAATCACTAATTAGTGTATATATATATATATGTATATATGTATGTCTTGAAACCAGTGGTGTTCATATTTGCATGCAGATTTATATTTGTGCATATTGTTTGAACACAATTGAACACAAACCCAATGCCTATGAGTGTCATGTGACCTGGAGAGCAGAAAAACAGATCGAAGAGTGCACAATCCCTTGTAGTATTAGGATGTATTAGGTAGCAGTTGGGTTTGACGGTTTTGCTTTCACCCACAATCACCCACAGCATCCCACAGCCAAACGAGAGACTATGAAGAAACCAAAGGCCATCACCCCCGCACGACCGCACGAAGACCGACCGCCACACGTGCGGTCTGGCACAAAAAGAAACGGCCCGGCCGTGTTGAGCCACTCCGTCCGGTGGAGTGGTTCAAATCCCATCCAATCTGCTGGACAGCTGGACCTCCGGGTTGTTTTCCTGCACACACACAAATATGAGGTTGGATCAGTTGCCTGCCTTGGTGAATGGACTCTTTTTTGCGTACATCGATGTACCCAGACTGTCGGGAGACCGGTCGATCTTCGAGTGCGAAAAACAAACGCCGACAGTTGTGCTATGTTGTGCTTCATCAAAAAAGCTGCGGATCAAAATCAAAGGTGCCTTGTGTCCTGGATTGGGAATGACTTGTTTTCTTTATATATTTGGAGCCACAACTAATAGAGAGGGAATGCACAGCTCAAATTTGATTCCACACACACCAACACGAACTCGCGGTGTTGCCCTTCCAAACAGTGTAAGACCTCACCAAGCTGAGTGGTCTCTCTTCGCACAAGCCGACCAAGTCGCCGTCGTTCTGGGGGTTCCACGATGCTGCAACCAAATTTGAAAGAAACCAATTGAGAGGTCTGTGTTCAGGTCCATGATGTTTAGATAGTCAACGGATCGAAGATTACAGCTGCAACCAAGATGCCTAATCCCGGTGGTGAAGACACTATGACCTCGACAAAGGACACTTTGCATTGTGCATGCAAGTCTGCAAGCGCTTGGATTCTAGAAATCGACCGGCAAATGGACTCGAATCACTCTCTCCCAACGGACAACTACACACACACACAAGGGATTTGTTGGGAGCGGCCAAGGTTGGCGACTGTTGCTCAGAATCATTGAAACTCAGGTTGTCACATACAGTAACTAGCACAATAATTCGGCTCAAGTCTCACATTGAAACACCACTCACATCATGAGCAGTGACGCTTCACACCTCACAGGCAACTGTTCCTTTTCTTCTCGCATGTGATACTTGCGCGAGCAATTAACAATTGTTCTGCAAATGTTTGGCCTTTTTCATTCGCTGTCATGACGCTGCTGGTGACCACCCAGCGTCATGTCCGTTTTTGCTTCGTCCCGGTGCCTTGGTTCATTCCCCTGCCGTCCGCCCCTCTTGCCACTCTCGCCTTGAGGGGCCCGGTCGGATAGCCCTTCTCCAGGCAAGCGAGCCTCAGCACGGTGGCGGCGCATTGCGCAGCGAACACACGGATCGCGGCCAGAGGTTTTCATGTCCAAGAGCCATACATATGTTTCAGAGGATTTTCGGGCTGCTTGACCATGAGGTCCTGGTGAAGATGGGAGTGATGTGAGCGGAAGAAAAAGCCTGTTGATTGAGGTCTTGGTCAAAAGCCAGGAGCTCCTAGTAGCGTCCTTGCTCCTAGTAGATACAACTTGTTACAATTTGTGACAACTTCCATGTGTGGGAGGCACTAAGGCACATGCCAAGCAAAGAGTCCGCCCACGCACGTCATGCCATTGAATGCCATTGATTGAAACACCTGCGTGTCCTATTCGACTGCAACGCTCCTTCAGCAAATAGTCGAAGATGTCATAAACACCTTGCTCTTCAAGGTATTCATTGATCTCATAGAGGTTGCCCCTGCGCTGTCAGGGTCAGCGTTTCTTGGCAAAGTGTAGATGGGCTATGATGGGCTGGTTCACTGCTCATGTCGGCCTTCAAGCGGGCAAAAGTACATACTAGGAGTTGAGGAGCAAAACGTAAAACAGGATGCTAAAAGGCCATGAAGGCCATGCCTATGATCCAGTACCTTTCTCTCCAGCAACGATACTTTACTTCTCAACTTCTGAAGATGTGCACATTCTTTCTTTTAATTCTAGATGTCCAAAGACTCTTCTACCTATCTAGAGGTAGCTGATGATATTTTTCAGTCCAAGAGTCTCCTCATCAACCAAAGCCCAGTCCGAGAATGCTGCTCTCCATCCCCCAAACGAATACGACGAAATTCCGAAACCTGAGACGGAATTTCGGGGACCCGAACCGTCGTCCAAATGAACTGTGGTACAGTCGCTCTCCCTGCCATTTTGGTATTTAACCTATGTATTCAACTCTGATTTGTTCAATTATGTAACATTTTGTAGTTCAAGGAAACTAGCAAGGCGTGCACCTCAAATCCGGCTTCCAATCAGCTGCGACCGGATGCTCGGCGCTTCGACCTGGCCGGAGACCAGAAAAAGGGTCGTGGATGTGATTTCGATCAGGCCATTTTGGGACTGGAATCAATGCTACCAGACTGGTGAACGTCCATGCCCCTAACTCACATTCAGGGTGACCAATCCGACCAGAGAGCAAACATGCGGAACAGGAGCACATGGTAACCGGTAACCTTTTTTGCGATTCCGCCAAAACTGCTGCCTACTACCTAACAGAATAGTCTCTGATTAGCAGTGGTTCTGCTCGGTGCCTAAACAATTGTCAAATTGTAGACGAATAACTAATAGCTGTCTCGGGCGGACGTTCTGCCTCTCGTTGTGAATTTGAGATATGTCACATAGGATAACTGGATAACTAGGCCGTTGGATGCCAAAAGCTGCAGCGAAAGCAACAACTGAAAACAGTTCCACCATTTCCACAGTTCCACCATTTCCAGTAAGCTCAGGCAAGCGCCTTTCACCGCCAAGCCGTTTGACATGGCCTGAGCTGCTCACTGGCAGAGTGGACCGATATATGCTTTCAAAGGCATGTGCTGGCAACCTTCAAACGCTTCCAGGACATCACTCGGTGGCTCAGACAATCCAAGCTGCTCTTATTTCGGTGGTGCCCTATTAAAGAAGGCCCGTTGGATGTGCATCCCAAGTCGGCTCGCGAAAGCGATCTGGGGGCTGCGCGTGGTGTCAGCCAATGGGTCTGCTTGGATCACAAGCAAAATTCTAAGCGGAAGTCTTGCACGCTAGCAGCGTGGATTTAGGAGGTGCAGCATGATTGTATCGACTATATGCCACTAGGTCTTGGCACATCAAGATTTCGAGCTTCTCTCTGCCTGAGCCTCTGGCTGCAAAATGAGCCTCCCTGGTCCCACCAAGCTTGTCCGGAAGATTTCCTTCAGTACCCTTCACCCACTTTGAAGCAAGATACTTTTAGGCTGATATGTTTGTTGAATACAAAGAGTCCCACAGGCAGGTAAATGAGTCTTGTATTAAAGAAATGTATCAGGTGGGCTAGATTTCATGTACGTGACGCAGCATCTTTTAATCTGATGACCTTGGAGTTGCTGTTGTGATTTCTTATTTCTTCTGCTGTTCATGTGCGTGGCTTACGGGACAATTCTGGTTCATTCCTGCTAGCGCCGTGCTAGCACGGACCTAGCGCATAATATCTGAGACAAATTGTAATTTGCTGCATGCTTTTCCAGCAAGCAAGCCAAACCACTGCATGCTAGCAAACCTCTGCAGCATGAAATCCATTCCAGGATCTTTCCTTGAAATGCTAGCCCCCTAGTGGAGCTGGATCTTTTCAAAAAACACATGCCCTCTCAGACCCATCAAAGATCAGAAAGAGGCATTCTTTCTAGCAAGGGTACTCCTGGGTATGACAATCTAGCGCCAATCTGGCGGCTTTTCTAGCGCCACCATCGTAATTCCTTGCGTGCCGCTTCTTACGGAAGACTTGACAATCATGTCTGCAAAAGAATTGTTGTCAACTGTTCATCAACACTTGCACATGACTTTTGGCAAGTTTTCATATGTCACTTTTGTGTGTTTGGCTTTAGTTCCTTTCTCCTTTGCATTTTGTTAACATTTTGAAGCCTCTTCCAGAATTTCAAGAAAACTTTGAGACAATTATATATATGTGGTTCCTGTCCCTTATTGTCTTTCTCCTGTTTTCCTCCTCACCTGGGAAAAGCGATGCGAGATGCTACACATGTCAACACCCAATATCTCTATAAAATGCTTTTCCAGATCCACATGCTCTCACAGCATTGATTTTACAAAAGCAAAACCAAATCTCTGTGTATAGTACCACATAAAAAGTGCACTGTTACAGCACCCTACTCATCTATAAATGCTTGTCAAGGTTCACAAGGCATGCCAATAAAGGCCACCAGAACAAGCAACAACCACCTCTCTAAATTTAAAGTGCTGTCAAAGGTTTCTCAAAAGCTGTAAAACAATACCCTCTCTATAAAATGAGGGGTCCAAAGCGTATTCTACAGAGTCACATGACTGGCATTTTACAGGGTCACTGACCTCAGAAGGACATACAGTGGAAAAATCTGAACTTTAGAGACATCGGCATTCAAAGAATAGGCGAACTCACGTGGCACGATGTTCGGTCACTCAATCTGACCGGCCCGAGTCAGGGAGCCTTTTCACTTCGCTCGCGTTCGCGAGTCGTCGATCACTCACTGAGTGGCTGTGGCATTCGCTGTGATTCGGACCGAATCTGCCCAAAGTTTCGCTGGTCGAATTGGAACTTCTTGGCGTCGAGGTCTCCAAGGTCAAGTTTGAACATCTGAAGCTACGGTCCAAGGGCCGATGGGTCGAAGGAAACACGCCAGTCCTTTGATCACTCTTCACATGTTTCGACGACATTTACAGGATATGTGCCAGTTCGACCTGTTGATCTGGAAATTTGGATAGTTGCCCAGTTGCGTGCTCTCAATATTCCATGCAATTCGACCAGAGGGCGATGGAGATTTTCAGAGGATGCACAAAGCTGTGACCAGGGCCAGCCGTTGGGCCAAGGCAAGCAGTGCAAACTCTCACCATCTGAATCTGTGTGAAGTTGAAAGACATGACAAAACAACTTCGGAGAATGAACGAAGTTGTTGATAAGTGGGTGTGTAGCTTAATTTGGAGACCCCTAACCAATGGGTTATTGTTCTACTTTCCTTCTTCTCCCCATTTTAATACGCATCCATATTATTGTTATTGATATGATATAATATAATCATCTAGTCTCATCCTGTTTCATCGACTTTCTGGCTTTTGTCCCATTTTGGTGAAGCTGGTAGTTGATGCCTCAGAAAGACATGGGAAAACGTCCTTCATCCTGCCGAATCCTTCGGCTCTCACGGAAAGGACCTCCTGGGAGTGAACTTACGCCTCAGACGTCGCCCGTTGGGTTCGACGGAACCGCGTCCGGTCGGATGGAATTCAATGGAATACACATCTGCAAAGGAAATGGCCAGGTTTCACCAGCCGAACACCTCAGGCCTGAAACAGGTGTCCTTTTCTCATTCAGATGCTGATGACGGTTTCCTTTTCTCACGATGGCAGGGTCCACATACCCCAAAACAAAGAGACCTATTTGTTCATTGATGTGTAACCCTAGGGCTCCAAGTACCTCCTTACAAGGTGTCTGGGGATGTTTGGGGAGGGTTTGGAGGGTACCTTCATGCAGGACCGAACCCTCGAAGGAACGAACCAGGCCGCCCCACCGTCGCGCGGTGGAGACCTCGGTTCGAAGCGGCCCGAAGCGGCCGGAGACCGCGTGAAAGGTGGTGAATTGGCCGCGCGGAGATGGTGATGGGCAAATCGGATCCTTAGCAGATGTTCCCAGACTTTGTTGGACTTGGCTAGCAAATGTTGGGATTCTTAACAGCAAACTGCTAACATCTGATTATAGTTTTTTAGCAAATGTTAGCAGCCTTGAAACTTGAGTCATCTTGGAAGTCAGAATTGACATCCTGCCCTGTCGTGGTTGGCTCTGCTTGGATGTAGTTTTATATTTTTTCTTCGGAGATACGCCCGAGAATAGTTTTTGGATTCTTTCGAAGCTGTTCGTCCGCAGGAGGTACGGTACAAACGGCAGCGATCATGTAAAACTTATGAATAATATTGAATCATGAATGTAAGTTTAGGTCAAAACAAATGTCAACTACAGGGTGAGTCCTTGATTTCTCCAACTTCTCAATATCTAGTAACCTGGTATCTGTCACCAGCAGTTGCTGTTGATCCCTGCAGGCTATGGGTCAAATGGTCTTGAAAGTGCACTGTGACATAACATGACATATCTAGGAGTCAGAGGCCGGAACATACCAGTATATGTGTTTATCTGCATATTAGAATTTATATCAATTTATACTATCTCTCTATATATATATATAGTCGTGGCCTGCATCCCGCGATTGTGTCTTCGCTCCAACAACTCACATCGAAGACAGCTGCCCTGCCTCAGACCTTGCGCTTGTTCTCACTGAGGATAGTGGAAGGAAGCGGGCCTCAGACTGGTGCAGACTCGCAGCTCTTAGATTGGCTAGCGAGCTTACAGGGGTCTCCTTATCGAAACCATGTTTTTACAACTCTTGACCTTACAGAAAGGTATTTGGTGGAGTGCACGCATCAGGTCTCGATTGCAACCATAAAATGACTTCAGGACTTCGCAGCTCTAGTGTCTACTTGCCACGGCGGAAACAGCGGCCATGTGGGCGGAGAAGTCATTTTTGACTGTTGGACAAGGTTTTGTCTCTTTATCCCTCTTAACAGTGATGTACTTTAATGACGCGTAAGACCAAAAAACAGGGAGGACAACAGGCTGATATTGGCCTCCCCATGCCTCCCCTTAAAAACACTATATAAGTCCTGGATTGACACGCTCAGATCCTCAAGCTTCACTGAAGGTAACAAAGACGGACGGCTCAACCCCTTTTTGATACAACCCCCTTTGAGCTGTGGGTAAAGCACATGCAAAGCACATGTCCTACTCCCACAGAATATCCATTCTGCCAGGCCAGGAGGTGTATTCCAAAGAAGCCACAGGCGTGGGTAGCATGGTGTTCATCTCTCAAAAGACTCACCCTGCTGCAAATCATCGACCTTTACGAATCAAATCCTACGAACAAATACGCTCTAAATCTCAGAGTCTCTCCTACTGTAATTTTCCATCTCTCAAGGATGGTCTTTGTTTAACATGAGCGGACAAACATATGGCCCAGCAATGACCTCTACTTCGTCCGTCCCAGTCCGCGGACGGACGACGCTTCGTCACCCGGACCGTGGGACCCGGAGCGGGTGTCCCAACCCATCGATCATCTCGGTGGACCTGACGGGAGAAAGGCTTCACATGGCTGAATTCACACGGAGTAGAGAGAGACGGCACGGTGTGGTGACGGTGTGGTGACGACCCGGGGCAAGACGACACGGTGGGTCTGAAACCTGTCATGTATCTTGGTGATGATGACAGATCATGTTTCCGAGAAATTGAGGAAAGCATGAGGAAACATCGGGAAGACATCGGGAAACTAAAGGTTTTTAGCATCATGTTGTTGGCGAAAACAAAGTGACTTGCAGAGGGTGTGTTCAACCTTTCAAGCGCACGTCTACACAAGCTTATCTTGTAATTGTAGCCCAAGAGGAAACAAAGAACTTATATAAACGTTTTGACATATGACGATTGCCGTTTACATTCGATTCGAAACAGCCTCTATATTTTGCTGCTGATCGTTAGGTGCCGAGACTCAAACATCGAAGGACGGCACATAACATATTGATGAAAGCAGTGGTAGGTTATGCTTCCTGGCTGATCCTGGCTGTACCATCTCTGTATCAAAACATAGGAGGAAGCAAATGAGGGCTTCCACAGTTGTCTACCCTAAGAATCCTTCGACACAAAAATAGCAGGGGTCTGGACCCGAACCAAAGCGTTTCCATGAGTTCGGGCTCGGATCCTTAGGGCCTAGGGCTAGAGATACAGCGGGTACTCTGATAGGACATCGAACAAGTAGACGAGCGCTTTCACCCAAGGTTCCTTCACTTCCGTACCAAGAGGTGTTGGTCTAAACACTTGCTTTGGGGCTCCTGGCGACAAAGGGGGCGTCACGAATCGTCACAAACCGTCGACCAAGGTGTCGAAGACGACGTGGCGTCGTCCTGTTTTTTTCGTGTCCCCTCAACATCCAATTGGAATTTCACTGGCTGGTTGGTTCAGTTCAGTTTGTTGTGAGAATATAAATATATATACACTGCACATAATATCATGTAAACATTAACTATAACTATACTATAACTGTAAACACTAAGCACTATATATAATTAATTGTATATATATATATATATTACTTGCATACATATACTTATATACATGTTGTATACTGTAATATGTACGAGTACAATATTCTATCATATGCCACCTGCCCGAGCGTTTTTGAGATCCAATTCATATCTCATATCAATTACTTTCCCCGGGTGACCTTCGTTGTGTCACCTCCGGATGGCCGTTGGTCGACTGCCCACCGGTCGGTCGACCGCCTCGTCCCAAGCCTGGCGCGTCCGCGGGCGGCTTGCTAAACGCCGGCGACGCCCAGTGGCTCGGTGCAGTTGGAACAGCGGCGGGTGAAGTTGATGTATAGATTGTCTTTCCCACGGACTGGAGATCCAATAGTAGTTTTCGGAATCCAATGGAATTCCTAGTCATATCATGTCCACTCGTAGTTTGAGAAAGTCCTGGAGATCTCAAGACTACCAGGGTCCGCACTGTTGGACCAGAAACTGGAACAAAGAAAGTGAGCCGCCAACCAAGGATGAGCAGCAGGACTCGCGATCCATGCCACAAGAAGATTTGTCCAGCATATCTAAAACATGATTTCGTTCACCGCCTTTCGATTTATAGAAGAGTGAATTCTATCTCAGATTGGAATTGGTTTCCCACACATCTTTCCAGAAAACGGCTGCAGCACCGATCCCGTGGCTGTTCCTCCCTTCGATCCCGAGACCCGACCTGCTGGAAGGAGGTCACCAGCTCCACGGCGGCGCACAGCAATCGGACACCCCCATCCTGCGCGACGGCGACGACGGGTGATAATGGCGTGGTAAGGCGTCCAGCGGGTGTCCAGCAGTGGGAGGGTGAAGGCTGATCCGGTGTTTCCGCTGTCATGGAACACATGACGGGTACAAAACAGATGTAAAATGTAAATGGTGGAATATGAGGGGTCTCCTATTGATATCCTCTGTGTCAGCTGGTGAAGTTCTTCCTTCGACAGCAGAAAAACGCGATCTTCGCCTCCTTGCCCGCACACACATCACAAACCGAAATACATTCCCACCACCAGGCGTCTCCATGCTTGGGTTGAGCGATGGTAGTGGCTCAGTTGTGGCTTGTCAGGACATGAGATGAGATGTCATTTTGTTGAGTTTCCCTATCGATAACGCGAGTGAAACATGGTGGAGAATTGTCCATCTAGTCCTCAACCATAGACTGCGAACCAAACATATGAGAGAAGTACTAGTGAACTTGACATTCCCTCACACAACTTGTGGAACCCGACAAAACCCGGCTGCAAGTATTGGCGGCAAGGATTAACCTGTTTAGCCCTTTTGCAAGACATCCTGACCCAAACGAGAAGAAACAAGGAAACTTAAAAGAACCCTGATTCAGATATTTTTACTGGTATCTCCTTCTGAGGTGAGTAAATGTCTTGAATACCTGTGGATATCTGTGGATAGCATATATGCCTGGCATATAGATGGTACATACTTGCTTTTTGTGCCAGCCATAAACCTATGGTAGACTTTCTGTTCTCGTATTCTTTTGTTCTCTCCTTCGGCTTTCGTGCAGAGAAATCTTTGTTCTCAGTTTCGGGGGAAACTGGAAAGCTGAGCGCAGCTGGACGCAGACTCTTGGACGTTTCAGCAGCAGTGCACATGGCTTAAGGACGTGGAATTGCCATTGGTGAGATTTGCCACTACATCTGTTGAGCCGTCCAAGGCAATCACAAAGTGCAAGAGTCAAGCTTTCTTCAACTTCCCCTCAGCTGGCAAGATGGCCACTGGCACCCATCTTGCATCTAGGAAGGCCGCCTGACAATGAATAGCCAGTTCAACTGTTGGCAGTGTAGATATTACATGTAAGATATAGACTCATACAAACACTGGATATATATATATACACATGCATGCCACATATGACATGCCATGCTTGCACACATTGATTCATATGTCTGCAAACTTTGTTGTACAATGCGCAGGATATTCAATCGTCCCACATGCACAACAAGGAGGAAAGCAAGCCTGATGATCTAAACGGAAAGTACTAGATCCTCACTAAGAAGCTTCCAATCCACATGTACGAGTAGGAATCGGTGTTGCTCCCACATGCGTCCCTGACCTTCCATTCCATAACTTGACAACTTTTAGGCGAGTGACACCGATTGACACGAGAAGTCTGCGATGCCGTTCTGCATCGTTCCGCCGTTCCGTCAAACAGACCTGCGGTTTTTCCTTCGTGCGAGGAAGTCCAAGGCGATCTTCCAAGAGTCCAACAGGATCCAACGGGCTCCATGGTCACTTCCCGTTTGTACGGTCCATACAAAACCAAGAAGAATTCAACAAAAAGGATCAAAGGCATGTTTGGATACGTTTGGATACCCTAAAGAGAAACACATGTTTTTACCACTGGACCTGGATTTCCGTTGGATGCCTTACTAATCCAATTCAATCCATGTAATTCCAACAACGTTAAAGTCAATACTACCAATACTAAAACAGTTTTAAAGACTATTTGAGGTCATTTCAGAAAGGTAGACCCCCTATTGATTAACCACATGTAGACATTATACACACTGTTGACATCATCTAACGTTTAGCATTTAACACACATCCCCAACATTCCTTTTACTGTTAGTTGGCTGGATGCTGCTTTAATGGTATAGCCTGCGTGCGGTTCATGCCTGCATTCTGGAAACATCTGCATGGTAATGTACAGGATGACTTATGTGAAGTCTTTGCCGGCGATCTCAGGCAAGCCTATGTGATGGCCGAACCGTTCATGCTGCACACAATAGCCCAAATGATCCCAAAACGGAATGACCGTCACTTGACCGTCACCCTCGTGTTGGTGAACGTCACGTGATGCGGATGTGGCAAACAGCAAGGTGAACATATCGCGGAAGAGTCCGATCCTCTTCTAAATCCAAGTTCAGCAAGATCAGGCTCCGCTGTTCTACGGTTTAGGCACCCACCGTTCGTGTGTTGCCGAACCCCGTCTGTCTCTCCGTGGCCTTCAAGATGAGCACAATCGTCACCAGGTTCACCAGTGCCGACACCAACTGATGTGGGCGTCTGACCGACTCGCGTGAGGCGTTCTCCGCGTGTCGTGACTGTTTCCAGGCCAAGACATGCCATGAAAGGCATCGCTACTAGTAACAAGCGCATTACTACTAGTAGCAAGAAGCTACTAGGAGCTTCTTGCTACTAGTAGTAATGGCCTCCTAGTAGCGATGGCCTCCAACCTAATAGAATATCTCCCTCTTGCCTACCCCCTGTACTATTCTGACAAAAGATGGCAAAAGCATGCAAAAGCTATTCTGCAATGTCGTTCAAACGATGAATCATTTTTGCATCTTGATATGAAACCACTTTCCATATGTCGACCAATCACAAACTATTCCGTGCATGATAGGTGCCACCTTGACCTACTATATACGTACCTGGTCAATTTAATGTTCAGAAGAAACTTGTTCAAACAAACACATGTCCAATCATTTCCATGGTTTGGATACGTTTGGATCTCCTGTGGTTCGTTTGCAACGAGCTCTTTGATTCCAGGGGAGGTAGCACTTAGCCGGACATCCACACTTGGGTCCAGCTTGCCCACTGTGTCTCTGAGACCAGCTGAGTTGATCAGATTTTGCCAATGCACTATGTGTCGCCTCTCCACCTCGGTTGGCCCATTCCCCACCTGACCCCCAGTGACGCTCTCCTCCCACCAGTGATTACATATTCTTCGCATCCGAGCAGCCCCCAAAGCTTGGTAGATCAATGAGCTGGCCACGACATTCCTGTTGAGTGCCAGCAGCCACTGGCGTCAGCCCCATGGTGGTTATAGTGTTAGAAACCACCTTTGATGAAAGGATGCGAAAGGGTTTCACAAGCCACATCAACAAGCCAAGCACCTTTGAAGCAACCCGACATGAACATGCTGATCATACTGCATACTGTACCCTACCTCCACCAGTGAAGACTCCTCCATCCACTCGAGGAATACTAGAACTCTTGACTAAAAACATCGTTCCTCCCTACTACTACTACTACTACTACTACTACTACTACTACTCCAATGTCAAACCCCCACGGATTTCTTCTCGTCCTCAGGATCTGTGCTGGGCTGTTGGCTCTCATCATGAAGCCCGTCAAGGACCAAATGTCCGGCTTACGGCCCAGCAAAGGCCACTCGATGACCTCAACCGGGTGGTGCCAACGGGTCGAACATGGAACCAAGCAGCCCCGGACCGCGGCGCACGGACCTGGCGGAACCAAATGGTCTGCCCAAATCCGTTCTTCTGGTGGGTTCCAGAATTCGTCCAATGATTCGTCGTTTCCTGGTGTTTTGTTTCTCCGGCTTGAAGCGTAGCGGGACGCACGGAATCTCTTCGACCAAACAGTAATGATTTGAGAAGAATTGAATTGAGATGTTTGGAGGAGGATCTGAGTGCCTTAGCCCAGCCGTTATCTGAATGAAATCATCCGTTTGTTCATCGGCATGAACTGGGGTTCCCGGGCCAGGAGTGAGTTAATGCCGAGGCAAGTCCTGTGGAGACAAATCAAAGGAGAAGTTGCTTATCCAGTTCATTGAAAGACAGAGGGATAGAGAGATCGAGAGAGACAGTGAGAGACGAAGAGAAAGAATGAAGTGACTGCCTAATGGACTTACAGACGATCGCTTGGTCCTGCACAAATGGTCTCCAGTGAAGTAACCGGCGAGCGCCTCAGCTGCAATCTACACCGAAGCAGCGTGGCTGTAGGGATGACGAGCAATCAACAAACAAGTGCTTCGTCTCTGCTGTCCAGTTACGCGCCAGTGGCGTTGAACAAACGCACGTTTCTTTGGGAACTGATTCCCTACACCGCGCGTTGAGTGGGTGACAAATCGTAACTGGACCCATCTACACCCGAGGAATCCATCTAAACTCTACCAGGAGAGAACTAGATGCTCGGTTGTTTTTGGCCATGAGACTGCCAGTGACCATGAGATATCATGCAATTTTCCAGTGCCCAAAAAGCGATCGATCAAAACAAGCCTGAAAGCTTCAATGACCGTGTTGACTCATCTGCATGCAAGCTGTGGGACGTTTGTCACCTCGCTCCTTGACAGTGGATTGGCCAAGCGGCTAGCAGCCCTGAAAGACGCAGGTTGCACAGCAGGGTCAACATCTCAGCCTGAGCACTCCCGCACTCCGTCGGTGGGACTCATTCTGCTGTTACTCAGCCTGAGCAAATATGGCAGTGGGCCAAAACCGTGGCACCTTGCTTGACTACCACATGAACAGAATATTCTGCAAGGGACATTACTCTCGGGGTCCAGGTCTTGACCCTATCCATGTATAAGAACATGATGCTTCGGTTCTTGTCCCTTTTCATCCCTCTGTTTCACCAATGCCAAGCCGTGATTGTGCTCGACAAAACGACATCCAGAGTGTGCATCAACGTGCGCGCAAACAATTGAGTAGCATCGGCATGTGTCTTTCGCGCTCTTTGTCACAGTAAAACAATGCTCCGTTCGGTCCTTGACATGAGGGATGATCCATAAGCTCGCTGCTGCCCAAATGAGCAACTGCTCCTGGACCTCAAACCAAACGGCTGGCCTGGCACTGCTCGAGCATTTCAACATGTCGTGCGTTTCTTCTCACGGCCACTGCTCGTGATCTTCCATCCCATGGAAGCACGGCGTGTGTATTAGAATTGGGAGACCGAGACCCATGGCAAGAGCAAGAATCCACCAAGTCATTTGAAATCCCTTGGTGGGAGGTCTTAGGATTTCTTGGTCGAAGGAGGTCTCTGGGTCAAAGGATGTCTCTGTGGTCTCTCTGTGGTCTCCATCTCCAGGCCGGTGGTCTGCTGAGGGTCGGCCGAGAGAACGAAGGTCGTTCGACCACTCGAACTATGCGCACCTGGACTTCCAGCCAGAGACGAGCATTGAGACCTCCATGCCCACGGTTGGATGCGCTTTGTGAAAGCAGTGACGACGATGGTGACACTGCGAAAGTAATTAGGGACAGAATACATGAGTGTTCGGATTTCCAAGTATACTGATGGACATGAAAGCAGTGAAACTGATTGAAGTCCTAAATACAGTACAAATTACAAATATGTAACAATCAAAAGGAGACGAACTTTTCTAGCGACAATTTGAAGGCTCAAACACCGGGAAACTGTTTGTTTCCATGGAATCAAACACCTAGCTGGATCTCGAGATTCACATAGGTATTAACATATGGAGACCTCCCAAAGACTCCCTGGAAGAAGGAACATAGAACAACCCCCATTATTGTTTGGGTGTGTCATTGTGTCACTATTAACATACACACCCAAATGAACAGCCAAACCCTGGAAGGAATGACGTATTTTCTTGATTCGAATGGATGGCTGGATGGCTCAATATGGCTCGATGGCTGGTCGTCTGCTTGCCTGCTTGCGCATCTCGGCCCTTTTGGATGAGGTCGGAAAACATGATTCAACCACCTCATCCCACTTCTTTTCGGAAGGCGTGTCAGTACTTAGCTACATGGACATGTCGGTGTCAGTTGAATCAACGACCGCCAACAGTCTGCCAACAGTACCGCTGCCCGAACCGGTGTTAAAGCATGACGAACGGAATGGAGGAACCCTGAACCCTGATGAAGCCTAGTGAAGAGTGGCCGGCGAAGCTGCGTGGTTTTCACCACACCCAAAAACAAACCCATCTCTTCAGAACAAACCAGTCAAGAACTAGCTCCTCTTCGCCCAACATCGCCAGTACAGTTGGATCAATGCCTTCATCACCACCAGGATGGCGTACAAAAACTGGAACGCCAAGTCCACCATCATGGCTGGCAGCGCCTCAGCTGGAGAATTCAGCAGAGATCACACCTTCGTGTGGGTCAAAACCCAAGCCTAGTTGACCTCCCAGGAACAGAATGGACTACAGCAAAAGATCTCAGCCTACCTTGCTTTTGGGGTACACGGTACACGGTACCTTGCAAACACGTCATGTTGCCCCTTTACTGTCTCTTTTCTAAATCATATTTTACCATGGTCTAGTAGAGGTACTCGATGGGCTGTCGCAAATCAAGCTATTTTATACATGTGTGGTTGGTACCTGATGAATCGCAGGTTGGCACATTGAACCTCTCATTCAGCACCGGGCAGGCAGGCTTTGGGAGAATCGATTCTCCTGCATCTTCCAGGGAAGGTGTTTGGCAGGTTTTTCAAAGGCGTATTCTCAAACACATACTTTGGGAATGTTCTCCAAGTTGCATGGCTTGTGTCGCAGGGTGTTGCATGTATGGTGCATGTTCGGAGCATCCTCCACGGCTTTCTGCTAGGAAGTTGTGCGGCGTGTCATGAGTCATGACCGAAACTTTCTGCTGCCCGCAGTACAGTTCTAATATGTTCAAATCATGCATGTATCCGTGATTCTCCATGCTGCATCTTTTTGCGTCCCAAGGCACCAAAGGCCACTTGAGAAGGTCATAAGCGGCCGGCGCCGCCGGCGAGAGGACGATGTTGGCCACCTCAAGAAATGTGTTTGACATTGACATCTTACTAGACCAGGACCCCAGAACGGACCCCAGAACCCCAGAACCCAGGACTCCAGAACCCAGGACCCCAGAACCCCAGAAGCCAAACTGGTCACTGCGCTGATCTTCCAAGGACCCAAACGAGGTAGAGGATGTTGGCAACGCCAGTGCCTCGGCGTCAAGACGAAAACGAAACGGATGTTGGTTGACGTCTGTTTTTGGACCCCCTGGGTTTGGTAGGGCAACCGCAACCCTTAACTACCCTTGGATTTTGCGGGTCCTTTGCATTTTGCAGTCTGAACATTCTGCTGCGACCTGCCCTCGCAGCCACGCAAACTGCAGGAAATACAGGCTTATCGAGTAGCGTCCCCAGGTGAGGCCTTGTACCCCAAGCACGGCAGGTCGCAGCTGTTCAGCTGCCCCGTTCACCTGAAACCTGCGTTGTTTTTTCAAGGAGAACGTGACAATGATAAAACGCATGAACAACCTGCAGGGTACCTTGAAACAACCTATAACAAAGAACATTCCTATGTTACTTTGGTGCAATGTGCTATAATATAGTATTAAATGCGTTGCTTGTATGTTTATATGCCCCATGAAGAAAAAAAACACATGTCGCACCCACAGGCTATTCAAGGGGCAGCATGCTTTAGCTTGACATGGAGCCAGGAACATGAGTAACATGAGAACCCCTTTGCAATCGCCAGACAAGAAATTTGCAACCTAGCAAATGCGCTCAGCCGGATTCTGCAACTTTACGTTATCGACAACAGCTGCAAGTGGCGTTGCAGGTAGCTTGATTGAAACACATGGTTATATCGAAGCACACGGCTTGCAGATTACATAAGTGCCAGAAACAAACGCACAACGCTGGGACTCTGGCCCAAACACATGAAGAGTGTTTGGCTGGTGGAGGTCAACAGGACAGAGACAAGTCCTGAGCACCTTGGCCAGATGTGCGATGATTGAGTCTCAAGATTCAGGCGGATCTGGAGGGTGGCTTACTTTTTTCAAGATTTTCAGCTTATTTTTGGTTCATACAACTTGGGCGTACCTCTTTGGTTGTCGAGCATCATCGACAAATACCAGGCATAACATACTTGAAGAATCCTCTTGTTGCAACCTGATGGTAGAAGTGGGTATGCTCAAGATAGAACACCGTCCAACCCTATAACAAGTGGAGTTGAAGAACCTGGTTCACCCATTGGTTGGAAGGCACCTAAATAGGTGATGAATGACATGATATGACTAGTACTTTTCTCTTTGCTTGCGGACTTGTCTTTAGATTTTTTGGATTGAACCTGATCAGCGTGACTCTGGCTCGATCATCCCATCTGCAAGACCCGTTGACGTCCTTTCGACTTGGGAGACTAAATGCAGGAAGGCCCTGTTTGCCTTTAATGCATTGGTGGATTTGACCGACCTGGCCGCCAAATCTCATAGCATTCTCTCAAGAGGGACGGCGCCTCACTTGCGCACGCAAGATTCGCTCAGCTGTACACACAGCATTTCTTGATACAAGTAACTCACCTGCGCACACAGGATTCGCTCACCTGTACACAGTACACACATCGATTACAACCTTGTTCAAACTATGCCTGGTACCTCAAACTCACCTGCGCACACAGGTTTCGCTCACCTGTGCACACACAAATTGACATGATGTGATGTGTACATGATATGTCATTCTTTCATGATATGTCGTTGAGTCAGGTCTCCACACACACGCTCGTTTTCTGATGAAATTTACATTTGTTGTTGGGGTCAGCTGGGGTTGGGAAGGGAGGGTGGTGGTGGGGGGGTGTTAATAACGTCCCTCTGAACAAGCTAAAGGTTGGGGGCGTGAATGTGAATGTGAAGGACTTGCAGTACATCCATTCATTTCATTCATTGAATCTTTCATGTATCCATGCGTTCCTTTATTCTTTCCTCCATTCACTCATTCATTCATATCCTTCATTCATATCATTCATTCATATCATTCATTCATTCAGTCAGTCTGTCAAGTCAAGTCAAGTCATGTCATGTCATGTCATGCCATGCCATGACATGCCACGTCACGTCACGTCACGTCACGTCATGTCATTCATTCATTCATTCACTCATTCTTTCATTCACTCACCCATTCAGTCATTCAGTCATTCAGTCAATCATTCATTCCTTTCCATTCCATTCCATTCCATTCCATTTCACTCATTCATTCATTCATTCATTCACTCAATCATTCACAAATTCCGTCATTCCTTCATCCATTAGTTCATTGCTTGATTGGTTGATTGATTGATTCGTTCATTCATTCATTCATTCATACAGCCGAGCAAAGCGGCGTGTGCAACCGAGGAAGCGCGCTCACAACCGAGCAAATCCAAGTGCCTGCACAGGCGAGCAAATTCCACGTGCACAGCTGAGGCTCCGCCCCTCAAGAGGAGGTAGTAGGATACCGCCCTCCAATCACATGCATGTGCATGTAAACAATTATACTATATATAGTAACTATAGTATAGACTGTTTATAAACACAAAACATCACACAGCTATATTGTTTTATCTTGCACATATATATATATACACATGCACACTTGGAATGCAAATTGGATGTCAAATTGATGTCCAAAAAAAGAAAGTGCCAAACCCTGATGAGCAGCGAACACGCTGCCAAGACATGAACACAAACAACACTGGACACTTACAAACAGAAAGGACGGATCAAACATGATAAGACAACATCGTTCAGATTTTCACTCATTGTCTAGTATTTACAAGAACTTGTGCTGCTTCAGTAGCCCGGAAGGTTTCCTGCAGTCAGCCAAACGCACCTTGAGGATTATGGCAAGCTGCAGCTTCTATTACATCTTTACATCATTGGAAAAGCGGATTCGGAATTCTTAAGCCAAGACAAAGCAAAACAGAAACCAAAAACAACAAAGATCTAAGATGACGACGAAGGTGAATCGGTGTTTTTGAGAATGGGACAAAAACGACAATGGAATATGCTTCGGGAATAGGAAAGCAACACAGCCAATTCAAGGGTGACCAAGCCAAACACCCAGGATGTCCTTTTTGTATTCTGTACTATGTGTGTTTCCATGTCTGTTGTGTATCTATTTACCATGTGCTGGTGCTGTTTTATTTTTTACGTTCATCTAAATCTGTGTGTTCTTTAGTTCTTCCAGGTCTATTCTGTATCAGTCTACGAATCCTATGCGTTTATATATTTGGTTATCACGAAGACAACACTTGCTTATATGTCTTTCTTGTGCGCTTAGAGGAACACAAAAGCATTTCAGAAATACCTAGAATACAGCAACAAACACACATAGAGAAAAATAGAAAAACAACATTCCGACTGAAGCTAACATAGAAAAGTGAAAACGTGTCAAAAGAGTGCGTTAATAGGATGTTAACCCCCCAACTAGGGCTTTCCATGTGTTTGAGGTCTTCTCACTGTGGGTCATAGATTTTGGGGGACTGTGTCCTTCCACATGCAAGGCAGAAAGAATGCCTGTACATGTCTAGTTTATGTCTATTACGGTTCTTAATCTCGTCTTTCCCCACCTGTCAGGTGAGGTTGTTAGTTTTTATGTCAGCTGCCTTCCTCCGCCTCCTTCTCCGCCTCCTCCTCTGGACCTCACGCAGTCGCCCCCGCCAGACCTCAGCCAGCACCAAGCCACAAACACACAATCACAAACGCAATCACAAACACACAAGCACAATCACAAACACACAGTCACAAACACACAGCCACAACCACAATCACAAATACACAAGCACAATCACAAATACACAACACAAACACAATCACAAACACACAGCCACAACACAACCACAAACACAACCCCAAACACATCCACAAAATCGCAACTACAAGCACAGCACACACCCACAAGCACAAACGCAGCCACAAGCACATCCACAAACACACAACCACAACACACAACCACAAAGGCACATTTACAGCACACAACCACAACACAACACACAACCACAATAACCCAACCACAATCACGGCGCGCAACCCGAGGACCCATGAACAAAGTCGAGAACCACAAAACTCACGACCATGGCAACATGCTCCTCACCATGGCATGAAGACAAATGATTGAAATGTCATGGTGGGGATCACTCGAGGTAGAGTCTTATTGTTATTCCTCTACTTTAAACACAAACACCCACATGCAAGAAACCCTGGAACATACAGAAGAATGTGACAACTCCAGGATTCTGCTGGTATATATACTGACATCAAAGCGAAAACACATCGGAACAACATGAATGTATGCCGAACTATCCGGCTACAACTTGAAGCCTTTTGAATACGCAATTTTTCTGATCTGAGTGGAGCTTGAAACTGATGTGAGAAGCTCAGTGAACTTCCTCCACTGAGTCAACACATCACATTGGCCCTAGAGACATCGGCCGAGTCCACAACGACGAGCGGCTCGGAGGAGACTTGGAAGTCCACGAACTCCAACGGGGACCGCTGGAGCAACCTGAACGGAGACGCCTTGGACCCGGTTGGGCCCTGAAAGAACGGACGAACCGAAGATTGTTGGGTAGGCCTGTTGGGTTGGCCGATTTGAATCTTTAGTTCTGGATTTCTACACCCAACTTCTCTAAACCAGTGTTTATATGTCTTTAGTCTTTAGTTGTATCTTTCCGGGCTGTCTTGTTCTCCCACCAGTATCTTCTTGAGGAAACATCACGAAACCAAACCTCCCACATCCTCCTACCAACCAATCCCGCAATGGCGAACCACCGCGAACCAACCCGTTTGTGCTCACAGGATGTGGCCAAGGAATTGTCATGACAGATGGCACCGCCCTCTGCCTTGCTTTTCTCGGGACTCGTTCTGTGGCCGAATGTTGGCTCTCCCTGGTGTCAGACAGGACTCAAGAGAGTCAACCAGACCAGAGTTCTCAAAATAGAACCAATATATTTTTCACCATGGTGTGGCGATGAAGTTCAAAACTCTATGTTGGGCAATGCTCGCCCGCTTTGCTGTCACCACCAGCAGTCCAAATCAAACACATGCGAACACATGAGAAACGACATTCCTGCACCTGGTGAAGCCTCCCAAACGGCCGACCAAACTCCTGGCCTGCCACCTGGAGGCTCACCAGGCATGGATTCCACCCGGAAGGCTGCCAAACAGAGGTCGCAGCCTCGACCCAAACCATGCAGGTCTGTCGGTCAGTCGGTGTGTCAATAGGTGGCTAGATGTGGATCGGTGAACAGGATGGTGCAGAATAATATCGTATAGGTGAACAAAGAGGCAAAACAGCATACGCCTTTGTAGAGATACAAGTTGATGCGTAAATAGATGATGAATACAATTGAATACATGTGAATCCGTGGATGTTATATATATATCCATTGTGTTTTTGTTAGCCGTGATGAGGTCTCGGTACGGCTGTTGACAATTGAACCATGACGTTTCAATGGTTACTGCCTGCACACTGCACAAAGTGCATCCACTCTGAGTGGATCGCACGCCTTTCCGTTTTGATCCGTTTTGAGTCGCCAGGGCACTGTTCCTGCCTTGTCTGCCCACTAAGGGGACCTACAGCGTCGGACCTAGAGCCGATTTCGGGATGCCATACCGGAGCTGCATCTCTCCCACAACGTCTTTTGCCAAGTGCCTTGATGTGCCTTGGAAAGCTTGAGACATGGACACTGCATGACGGCCTAGACTCGCGCCCCAGCTACAGAAATGGTCTTGGGCTTCTTGCTTTGTTGCTGGCAGCCCTTACACAGTTCGACGACCTTGGTGTGGAACTCGCTTTTTGGCCAACACGCCAATGCAGCTCAGCATGCAAACCTACACCATGTGGCGACCAATTTGCCCACGAGCACAGCTTTTCATCACACAAGGGCACCTGGAGATGAATTGGTGGACAAACGCCGCCTTCCACCTTGTTTGGCGCTGGGAGCTTGTGGCTTCTGCAAGTGACAAACGACAGCGGCATTCCGGCCGGCCAACACGGATTGAGCCGGGGTCGCACCATGTTGGTGCACCACCCTTGCTGTCTCACCATCACGTTTGAGCAGGGCCTTTTATTCCGGCCATGCACTCATATGACCTGAGAATCAGCAACAAGTGTTCAAACCAGCACCTATCTGGCTAATCACCTTATCACCACCAACTCAACATGCTTGGTGGCACAGTGCTGCTCCTGCCAGCAACAGCTGGCAAAGGCTGTGCTATTGGCCGTGCAATGGCTTATTGCCGCCGATGGATTGTACACAGATTGCTTGGCTGGCGCAACTGTCGGCTTGACCCTGCCGGGCTGCTCTGCTGCCGAGCACGTGCAAATGGGTAAATGGGTAGATCTATGGGTAAGGACGAAGCACATCATGGAGGGACAACACCTTGGTACGGACGGATAGGTCGAACACCTTAGTACCCCAAGACCCCGGTTTTTGGAAGACAACGAGTCGTCAGGGCTGTTTTCTGTCGCAGCGGGTAGACTGCCACAGCATTTACCAGCACCTGCCAGGTTTATGACAATAGTTGTTCAATTTCTTCTGAAACAGAGCTTCTCTAATTACCTTCCTGAGCTCGCTGTACTGATCATTGAAAACAGGCCATGGATTCAGGTGAAAGCCTTGCACAGAAATGTACCAACACCTTTCCTAAGGACGCTCTTGGGTCGCATTTGATGGAACAAACTCCCTTCTAGCAGGAGATTGTGAGGCCTCTACAAGGATGTAGAATGATTTACTTAAAATGCGTATAACTCGATTTAGATAGGAATGATGTTCAAATAGCGAGCCCCTCCTGGCTGTTTGATGCTTTTGGATGGTTTTGGTCTCTCCTTCCAGTCTTTGGCAGGTCTTCATCTTTCCAAGACCATCTGTCTTGGCCTTTGGCCGCCTTGGCTTCCCTGCGCCACTCGCGAGCCTGGGCGGCCCCGGTATGCTTCAGCCAATCGATAAGACCTGAACAAGCAGGAGACGGGATCCAGCCCACATGTGTGAAAATGGCTACATCAAGAACACTGTCTGAAGTGACCCAGTGGAACATGGAAAAAATGGCCACTCAAAACTCTGGCGCCAAAAAAACATGCATTGGAGACAACTGTACTCGTGTACCGACTTGCCAGGTTCTGCATCTTCTTCTTAAGCCAGGTTGCCGTTTGCAATCTTTCGTGAAGAGTCTTGCTTCAACAGTAGGACCCCCCTACCATTGGACTACTAAAGGGGGAATCACACGGCCATAGCCATGAGCCTCGGTGTGGCTTTGCTGGCTAGAGGGAGGCATTCGAGGCATGTGTCAAACATAGCACCCCAGTTTCCAAAAAAGCACACACACAAATCTCTGGAGCCGACAGCCTGCGCTTGTAAACCTCTTCACAATATACTTGTTAGTTGTAGTCTATATTATACTAAACTACATGCCATATTGTATATTAGGTCTTTTCATCATGACTCTGTTCCTTGGGTGGTTTGCTCCTTATTGCTCCGAGGCCCCGAACAGCTGGAGTGAGCGCAGCGGATGCTTCCCGCACATTGGCAGGGCTCAATGAGCTCCGCGTCGCTCCTGTGCTCAACCAGCGGATTGGGTGACCCCGGATTGGGTGTGTATTAGTCATAGGGAGACCTCCTGGCCCAATGGTTTTTGGACGGTTTTGGTATGTGGCCTGCTCTCGGATTCCTTCTTTTTGAAGGTCATTGTCTGGAAGGTCCTCCCTGTTTTAATACACACCCACCATGCAGTCTGAAAACCACTATATAGTCAATGTCTTTGTGGAGGAACATATTCTCAAGGTCCAAGAGTGTCCCCCTTTTGCTTCAGACCCTTAGGTACCCTTTTTAAACACCGCTGGGCGAGCCGCAAGCAAGCCGAACGGCTCTCCCAGATGCGAGCTTCGGTGAGGTGGAGCTTGGGTCTTTGGCGCAAGGTGGCTTGGTGCGGTCGTGTTGAACTAGGGCCTCCCTCCGATGGAGGTTCCTCTTCACAAGCAGACCCCAAAAGAGTCAGCAAAAGTGCTGCATCTCCCAGCAATCGGTTTGCATCGTTCTTCCAAACTGATTGTGACATTCAGCACGAACTCGGCATCCCAATGGCGTGGCTTGGTCTGAGGCAAGGTCTCTTCAGCTGTCAGATGGCAAATTCGGCAGCAAAGATCCTCCTGAAAACACAACTTTAAACAGCCAAGCCAAAAACACCAACGAAGCACGATAGAAGCGCTGGGGGCCTGGGGATTCAATTACTGGATTTATAATTTGGATAAATTATTGATTAATAATTTAGGATAATTTAGGAGACTATTTGGGAGCCTTCCCAGAAGGGTCGTCTGTGTCTCACTAAAAGTCATGAATGAACTGCAGAACATATCAGAAAATCAGATCACTCATGTGTTCATGTGTGTTCTACGTATCTTCGTTCATCAAGCACGTGCATCATTACTTGAAGAGCTACGTGGAAAAAACTCTATGAATTACTTTACTTCGAGTGATCCCCACCATGACATTTCAATCATTTGTCTTGATGCCATAGTGAGGAGCATGTTGCCATAGTCGTTAGTATTGTAGTTCTCGATGTTGCTTGTGGGTCCTCGGGTTGTGTGCTGTGGTTGTGTGCTGTGTTGTGGTTGTGGTTGTGTTTGTGCGTTTGTGGTTGTGTGTTTGTGGTTGTGTTTGTGGTTTTGTGTTTGTGGTTGTGTGTTTGTGGTTGTGGTAGTGGTTGTGATTGTGTGTTTGTAGTTGTGGTTGTGGTTGCGGTTGTGTCTTTGTGATTGTGTGTTTGTAGTTGTGGTTGTGTTTGTGTCTTTGTGATTGTGTGTTTGTAGTTGTGTTTGCGGTTGTGTGTTTGTGGATGTGTTTGTGGTTGTGTTTGTGGTAGTGGTAGTGGTTATGTGTTTGTAGTTGTGGTTGTGGTTGTGTCTTTGTGATTATGTGTTTGTAGTTGTGGTTGTGGTTGTGGTTGTGCTTGTGTCTTTGTGATTGTGTGTTTGTACTTGTGGTTGTGGTTGTGTGTTTGTGGTTGTGTTTGTGGATGTGTTTGTGGTTGTGTTTGTGGTTGTGTGTTTGTGGTTGTGTGTTTGTGTGTTTGTGGTTGTGTGTTTGTGTGTGTTTGTGGTTGTGTGTATGTTTGTGGTTGTGTGTTTGTGATAGTGTCTTTGTAATTGTGTTTGTAGTTGCGTGTTTGTGATTGTGTTTGTAGTTGCGTGTTTGTGATTGTATTTGTGATTGTGTTTGTGATTGTGTTTGTGATTGTGTTTGTGATTGTGTGTTTGTGGTTGTGTGGTTGTGGTTGTGTGTTTGTGGTTTTGTGTTTGTGGTTATGTGTTTGTGATTGTGTCTTTGTAGTTGTGTTTGTAGTTGTGTGTTTGTGATTGTGGGTTTGTGATTGTGTTTGTGGTTGTGTGTTTGTGGTTGTGCGTTTGTGGTCGTGTGTTTGTGATTGTGTGTTTGTGGATTTTATCTGGCAAACTATCTGGTTGAGGTCCAGCGGTGCACACTGCGATCGGATCCTTGCGGTTGAGGTCCAGCGGTGCACACTGCGATCGGATCCTTGCGGTTGAGGTCCAGCGGTGCACACTGCGATCGGATCCTTGCGGTTGAGGTCCAGGGATGCACACTGCGATCGGATCCTTGCGGTTGAGGTCCAGGGGTGCACACTGCGATCGGATCCTTGCGGTTGAGGTCCAGGGGTGCACACACGCAGATCCGGAGCTGGCCAGACAAGATCGGCGAAGCAGATTGGCGATGAAGATTGGCGAGGAAGGAAGCAAGGAGGAAGGAGGAAGGAGGAGGACGAGGAGGCGGCGGAGGCGGAGGAAGAACAACTGTGATAAAATCTAACAACCCTCACCTGGCAGGTGGGGAACAAATAGAAGACATCCACCCAACCTTGGAGCATTTCAAAAAGCTGTGCGTTTTGCTGGGGGAGCCTCCGCATGGAGGACAGGTGGCGGTCCTGGCAGGGCCGCGGAACACAGGTGCTGGAACGCCGGTGCCACGCAAATCCACAGAAACACCGTGGTGAAAGTGGAGTTTTGTTCATGTTTAGTTGATGGAATCCTGAAACAGGAGCTGTTTTTCGTAGTACAACTTAAAATGCCGGACAGGTTTGCAACATGTCAATGCCGTTTGATCTACAAACAAAGACTGCGACATGCCAGGATAAGTTTGAGTCGTGGGAAGGTCGGATAAAGCAAGAAATCACAAGTCGAAACACATATCATCTATCCCCGTGCAGAAGAGAGGTCAAGCATGCTCATGGTATCCAAAAATGGTCAGCATAAAATGGGTTGTATAGGTCAGGTGTTTCAAGTCATGAAGCCTAAAAACATGTTACACATGTCTAAAAAGTGAGAGTTGTGCAAAGTCATCTACAATGGGTCTGGATATTTTGGTAGTGCACACCTATATATATATAACCGTTCAACACTCAAATTATGTTTGTCATTTTACTTATCCTTATACATGTTTCCTTATACTAAATGAGTCATATAAAATGACAAAATCGTGCAAAAAGCACACTCAGTTTGGATTGTCGGTAGCGGCGGAGATTATCATCTAATTTTAAAACAGTTCTGGCAAATCTGGCGATCTCAAATGCCCTGTGGCCAGCTCTGTAGGCTCAACAAATCAACCGACATCTTTTTCTTCCCCAGAGGGCGTCGTCAAGCGCTGTGCCTGTGGCCGTCGTGCCCGCCGTGGTACCCTGAGGCGCAGAGGGGGCCGCATGGGGATCGGATTCGGGCTGGGACGGTTGAGGTGAGCCAAGGGAGGGTGGTACCTGCGGACTCACGTTCCCCATGAAAGTGGAAGGCATGGTCTGTTGGATGACCATGAAATCCGAATACCAAACAGGTGGTTCCATCCACTTCCATGGAACGTGAGTCGGAGTGAACATGATATTGCTTTGGTTGCAATTGTTGCTATCAGGACAGCCTTCTCGGAACGACGTCTCGCCTCCTTTGGCAGCAATGGCGCAGGCCTGGGTTCGTGCAACGCAAATCCTGGCTAGCATCTAGGAAATGCACGTGACCTGGTGATATAGTGTACAGTCGGTGTTCCAACGTGCTATTGCTTTTTCATGCTTTTTCACTGAAGCTGTTCAGAAGCTGTCTGAGAACTCACTGGGCTGTGTGGTATGTTGACCTCCCAGGTAGTCTATCTGTTCATCGGTGGTAGTCTATCTGTTAGCGGTTTTGAGCCAAAGCGATTGATCAGACCTCTCTTTTGTGCCCCAGGTCCCCTGGTCCAGCCCAGCCATTGATCCGATGTCGTCTGAGGTGCGCGGTGGGAAAATGGACTTGAAGACGCTTGGCCAAACCTGGGCGGTGGATCCAAGTGGTGTTTGGCAGTCCTATTCTGAAAAGAAACAGCATGACGTGGATGGATAGTGAAGAACGGTATCATTACAAAGGCAAGATTTGCCAATCAAATGGTCAACATGGGATCCTATTCTTTTTGATTGCGCTTCATAAATGGTCAATCAGCCATGTCTTTGCTTAGCTTGTGTAGGGGTAGATAAGACAAGACGTCGAATTTGGTTGCTCACATTTACCTCATGGGGCCGCTCGATGGAGAGACTGACGTGTGTGCCTATTGTTTTTGATGACACTCATAGATAATATGGCTTGGGTGTTTCCTATTCCCTGTAAAAGTGGATGATTATGGTTAGTAAAGGCCTTCCTCTAAAATAGTGATAATTGTTTACCAACTGTTATATACAGGTAAGAACGTACACCCCCAAAATATGGCTAGCATTTCCAGGCTGGGCCGGATTGAGATCGGGCTGGGGGTGGCAGGTGTTGGACTTAAGAAGAATCCTCGATATCCGGTGTCCCGTGTTTTTGCAGGTCAAAGCTCTACAATCCTGTTGACAAAAGAGATGAACACATGGAATATCTGCCTGTCGCATCTATGTTGTGTTGAGTACGGAGCAGCAACAGCACCCCCGATGTTGGGACATCTAGAGCTTCTGCTTTGGACATGCCTGCCAGCAGACCTCGAGACGTCTTGAACTACGCTTGACCTGAGGCAAACTAAGTCCCTTGCCACTGAAGTCATAGCTCCTGCAGCAGGCCACACCCAAGCTTGAGTGGCTTCGGCCTTTTGCCACTTCTTTGTACTAAAAACAACCAGGTCTCGCCATGTTTGCTTCTTGGGGGTCTTGATTGTCGACGTTGGGTCCACGACTTGCGAAGCATCTGGATCCTGAACTTTGCTTCACACCCCCTTTTTAGGGCTTTGACAGTGCAACCATCTGGCTGGGCCACTGGCATAGGAAGAAATGATCTTAGTTATAGTTGGATCTAGCAAAACCCATGGCGTAGATCCTCAAAGTGCGTCACGAGTGATTTCTTTTTCGCAACTTGCAACTCCATGGGATGATCCATTCCTGAGCCGAGTCAGGTCAGTCTAAGACCAAAAACAGCGCCGGCGCTCACGGTGAATGTGGCGTGTTGATCAGAGGCCCCTTCGGTCCACCCCGTGATGTTACCCTCGACACCGCGGGCGTTTCCATCCACCTTTTCGTATTTTTCCCGGGGCACCGAAACAGCTGAAGAAAAGTGATATAGGTTATGAATGGTGATAGATTGAAGAACATGTCCACTGGCCGCATCGCTGCCCCGGTGAAAGAGTGAGACAAACAGCAGACGTGTTTTCACACAGAACACCGCACAACAACTATGTCTCCAAAGAAGCAACATAGGCTTCACGCACAAGATGATGGCTTGACCCGGTAATAGTCAGTCCCAATGTTACTTTGATATACTTTGGTATATTTGGTGGAGTGCAGCTTCTTTTACACCAATATCTTGTCCCCCACGGAGAGTGGTTTTCTCACGATCGGGATAACATAATCAAAATGACAGCCCCTCGAACCGCCTAGCTGAAAGAGCCGGGCTTTCAGAGTTTCTGCTGAATGCCCACCTTGACCTTGAAGACGACCTTTTGAAGAAAATAGTGGCTTCTTGTTACCAGCAGCGATGGCCTCCAACCTACTAGCTTCCTGTTACTAGTGAGAATTCACCAGCCACTGCGGCCTTCCTTTGGACCCCTCCCTCAGCGAGGACACACAAACACATGCGAACACGCACTGAAAAATGACCGAGTCACACCTGAACCCTACATGAGCTCGCCTTAACCGCGATCCCGAACTTGCCTGGGTCGGCTGTCAGCTCCAAAAAGGAAAGGCTCGCGGATGACCTGGATGCTTTTTGTGGGCATCGGTTTGGGCAAGCGGCAGTCACGCGCCGTTTGAAGAATTCATCCATGGCTGGTCCAAGCGTGGTGGAGATAGTGGAGGAGGTTCATTGGCAAAATCTTGGTTTGGTCTCTCAACAAATTACTCACCAAAGTCTTGTAGCACACAACCCTTGCCGTGCTCATCTTTGCACCACGCTGTGCACTTGCTAACTCGAGACCAGTGCAGATTCCGCAGATTCTGTGCACGAAGATTTGATTTGAGTGTAACCTTGAGTTTCTGAGACCAACTACCACACAGCGCTCCATGAAAGCTCCTTTATTTCCTCATACCCCTTCCAACCTCCGGCACCCCTTCCAACATCTTCCAACCACCAATCTCCACCGACTGCCGGGGCGGCCTGGCCATCGAAACGGGTCGCCAAATGACTGAGCCGCGACAACAGGGTGTCGACACGCGAGGGCAAATGAGCCTCAGCGCTTCCAGCAGCGTCGCTTCCACGCGGAATTCAGCGCCGCTCGCACTCGCAGAAGCGTCGGATCGCGAGTCCAACGAGGTCCCGGTGTTGATCGCCGGTCGGAGGTGCGCCTCTTTTGGCGTCTGACGCCGACGCCATCGAAACTGCAAAGGCCCGTCAAGCTTTCAAGAAACTCGACTCGCTACATCCGGCAAAGTGCCACAGTCCTTCGCAAGGCACTGAAAATCCAGAGACGGGGTAAACGGTATGGACCCTGGTCTCATGTGAAGATTGCCGCTGAAAAATTGTAACTCCACGTCAGCACTAAGGATGCCCTTCTAAAGCATCCTCGAGGGGCTGAAAACATGACGATTGGAGCTGGGAACAGTGCATCTGACGATTCGCCCTGCGTGCCCCCGACGAACCAAACTCGGATTGTACTATATGTCACGTCTCCAACACGTCTCCGATATCTTTCAGCTGATTCATCTGGGCTGCATGACAACTCCTAGAGGACCCTTTACAAACGGGGCTGAGTGATTCTTTGGATTGACTCAGTAGACCTTTCAGCTGTGCAACAACAGCAGGGCGTTTCAGTCTTTGCAGAAGAAATTTTGCAAAATGCAGGATCACCTCGCTCGCCCGATCCCTTCGAAATAGAGCGGCAATCTCATCGCACAAACACTTCCCACTGGCCTTAGTTGAACAAACATGATGGCCTGTTAGAAGGGAGAGAAGGGAACATGGTTTTCCTCTGTGTTTCCGACCAGCTTCGGCTTATATTGATATGTATAGATGTTTGGGGCCTACGCGAGGCGATCCCGCCATTTGCGCTGCCGCGACTGGTTTTCAGAACTTTCATGAACTGCTGCACCGACAGCGAGATCTGTACAAGCATCTAATTTGATGTCTCGGCAAGCACAGGAACGATGTGAACATCGACCTAATTTTGGATGTCAAACATGATGCGAGTGGCGGAGTTTGTCCCATGTCTTTACTTTTGGCCGGCCAGAAGAGAACGCCAGTGCCATGCCATCTGTACCGCCCCATTTCAGGGCATCAGCCAAAACAAGAGAGCTGCACCATCCACCCTCTCGGTGCAGAAGTGCCATCGCCTCAACGCCTTTTTTTGGCCGGTGAGGCATTCGTTTCGGCACTTGTGTCACACAAGTCTTACAATCGTCTTACAATCTTACAACTCTGGTGCAGTGCTGCCGTTGCCGGTCCTGCAAGGCCGTGCTGCCGGTGTCCTTTCCGTGCGATGGGTTCTGGGTGTACCGGTGAGATGTGTTTTTTCTGCGTCCATCTGTGCGGCCGAACCAACGTGATCTCTGAACACGGGAATCAATGGCAAGAATGGCCCACGATGCTTTTGTTCTACATGGTTGAAATGTCCAGTGTCCAGGCACAACTCTAGAATATAAAGACGTGTTACACCCATTCTGGATAGAGGTCTCTGCTTCCAACCTACCCACATTGTGGTTCGCCTGAATTCCTGTTCATGGAAAGGTCTTGATTCGAAAACAGAAAGCAAGTGCTCTCCCAAATCTTTCCCCGGAGCCCACGTTTATCTGGGGGTCATACCCTGATCTGGCCCCTGCCACACAACTGCATGAGTACACAAAACCATTCCGTGTAAGTGTTAACATTCCCGATGTTTCTGTCTGTAGTCTTCTTTGGCGCGGACTACACTGACATAGGCTCCCCTATCAACATGTGGGCAGCGGTCTTCCGAGTGACCTTGCACATGCTTTCACATTCGCCCCAGCCTTCGCGAAAACATATCGCAAGTTCAGCAGCTTTTCATGGCCCAACAAAAAACTGTAATTGTACACTGAAACCATTGCAAATCTTGTGCGAAGGAAACATTTGTCTGTGGGAATTTCAAAAAACAGTACATTTCACCATGCAACTACATATTATGACATATAAGTAAGTATAAGGATCTCAATGGACTTCTGTCCTTACAAGTACTTCTTGATGAACTATCGACAATTGACATCACCATCCACCACCGCCCCAAAAATCTGAAAATCGCTCCTCAAAGGTAAGCAATTTCGGAGGATGCCTCCGCCAGGGAAGCATAGGCCTCGGTAGTCTGCCCTGATTCCCCGCGCCCAACAACCCATCATGACCCGCGCATGGCATGGCCCATAATAACGGTGGGTTCCTTGTTCTGATACAGTAGCAATAAGCTAGTAGTAACAAGGGCATCGCTATCAGTAACAGGTGCATCGCTACTAGTAGCAAGAATGGAAGGGTGGGCTCCTTGTTCTGATACTGATGAGGTCGACAGAACACATCAGTAAGCAATGTTTCAATATGTTGCCAACCACAAGGTCATTGCGAGAAAAGGTCTCATGACTGCTAGCCAGTAGGCTATTTTCTGTTTTCCGTCCCTTTGAACATGTCTTTTACAGAGTCAGGCTTCATAAGGCTCATTATGCTTATTGGACTCATTACCGTTCATGATTCCCTCATCCTGTCAATAACCGTGCACTTTTCCGGATTTAAAATAAGGCGTTGTCGTGACCCTACTCAACCTGAGACAGCGGTCAATACCACTTTCTGGCAACGTGATGGTTCATCAAAGACGTGTTGGAAGCTGGCATGTTTAGTTGCTTTATCGTTTATATAAACTGCACCAAGTGTTGTTTTATAATGTAAACCTTAAAACAACTTATGTACAACAACAGCAACAGCAACAGCAACAGCAACACCACCAACCACCAACCACCAACCACCACCACCACTGCTGCCAACAGCTGCAGCAACAAGACAACACGAAGAGCAGCCAACAGCCCACCTCTGAAAATGCTCGATTTGTGCTTGCTTTGTGCTTGCTTTGAAGGCACTCCCTGTGCTTGATTTGTAGAAATGCATCTTTTCATGGCTGTATGGACTCATATGTCTATTTATGACATGGACCGTGTGTGTTTTGCACCTCTTCGGCCGAACAAACACATTCGGCTGAGACGAAGTCTCTCTCGGGTCGGCAAGCTGGCGGCATGAATCGATTGGTGCCACCATGGAGTTACTAATAGCTTTTTGTTACTAATAGTAAGGCACTTGTTACTACTAGCGAGGCACTTGTTACTACTAGCTTCCTACTCCACAGGTCCATGAGTTTTTTAGAGATTTCATCTTCTATCATTTTTGAGAGATGAGTGGTGTGAATCGAGCGGTGGGGTGCCAGGGATTTGGCCATCGTATTGGCCTGAAGCGTATGTTTATTGAATTGGGCAAGGACATTATATGTTGGACATATCTCAAAGGGTTTGTGTTTTTGTGCTAAGCGGTTCTTTCCGTGTGCAATCTTAACACTGTTACTTCCAGGTCAATGGCAACGTTCCCTACCAAGACACCAAAGCATATAATAAGGTATGTGCTGGTTGGCCCGTTGAATACACTTGCTGTACAGTGATTTTGCGCAGGACATGTGCGGGATCGGTGGATCTTGGGCTCTCAAGAATTTCCTTGTCATGCAACATACAACAGTGCAAGCTGTCCAAGTAATTATGCAGTACCAATCAAATTTTGCATGGAAGGGCGAGGTATATGCAGAGAGAGAGAGAGATCCGTTCTTACATTGTCCAATCCCTGACCTCAAGCAAAGCGATTAGCTGCGAAGCATCATCAAACAACTCCGGCTTCGCACGAGTTTCTTGGACAGTCGCTCTGAGAACCCTGACGATCTCCTCCAAGCCAGGAGGCAAGTCCAATCGTTCGCCTGACAAGCGCGTGGCGCATCGCGGTGCTTCTCAGGGGCACCGGGCAGCTTCACAGGTTTGCAACAAGTGATGAAAACATGTTGACTGATGAATAACCCCCCACATGGAGGTATTTCACAAATCTCCGGGGATATTTCATCAGGTTACTGTATATATTTCAATATATTTCATATGCATTCATGTCTCCTGTCTCATATTTTCAAATTAAAGAGCCAATCTTACAAAACCCAACAAACCCATGTCATGTCCCTTGACATGAGTTTCAACTAGTTTAAGGCAAGAAACAGACCCTGAAACCGTTGGAGGAAGGGAGTCTTTGTGGCTTTGTTTTGTCTCACAAGAGGGCAAGCCCGAAGTAGAAGGTGTTCGAAACAGCTACAATTATATAGATGAAACCCCAAGTGTGTCATGTGGTCGATTGTTGGTGCCGGAATCATGTAACTCTTGGAAATTGACCTGCAGGCGACAACGTCAGCACCTAGACAGTCTTGGCAGCACCGCTCAACGGGACAGGGCTGGACAACCCACATCAACCCACCAAACGCGAGCAGTGGGCCTTCGGAATACATGCAGTGAATCTGGAGCGGATCCTGGGCGACTCCGGCAGTGAGTTTTCACTTCCCACCACCATTCGGTTGGATGCTATGAAACAGCAGGGGTTTGGAGAGGGACCTAAGAACCTGTTCAATGATGTTCTGGTGGATGTTAAACTTATCAAGCTAAGGTATCTCTACTGGATCCCAGCTTGGTACTTCAGGTCTTCAGCACGTTTCACCACACATGATACGCATACACATCGCATCCACATGGAGGACGATGACTTGACATTGATGGCCTCTGTTATTCATCTTTGGACGGTACATGGTGCAGATTGGTGCAGGGACACACCCAAGGGGAAATCTACATCGCACAATTCATTGGATGAGTCCCAGTACCCGAAGACATCACTCAAGATTCATTGCTTGGGCCAGAGGGAACCTGGTCCCGACACTACAAGGATTGAACCACGCAGGCACGCAGGACATGTCTTTCAAAGGTCTTTTGAATACCCCGGAAGAAAAAAATGATAGATCTGCTTCGCAGATTTCCACAAAACAAACATGTGTTAAGCACCGGTGCGGTTGGTGGCGGTCAGCAAGACGAAGCCTGTCATCGTCTTTCAGCGCTTGCCATGCTCTCACCAATCTCTTTCGGCACCTCTTCCTCTCCCACCAAGGCCGACCGCTCTGGGCCCCGGGCCACCAACCGGGCCACGGAGGCCTTCTTTGGAGATGCTGAAGCCTT